AGCTCGACGTGCGGTATCAGGAAGAACTCCCATATTCGGGAGTTGATCAAGCATGCAAGTTTAATTATTTGGGACGAAGCACCTATGGACCATCGCCACGCATTCGAGGCAGTAGACAGAACACTGCGGGACATACTTGACAACGATACCGAGCCTTTTGGGGGGAAAGTGTTTGTACTTTCGGGAGATTTCCGCCAGATTCTCCCGGTCGTTAAGAATGGAACACCCGTCGAGACAATTGACGCTTGCCTCAAGTCGTCTAGGCTGTGGCCCCAATTCCAGACGTTCCGTCTTACGGAAAACATGCGAGTGCGCACAGCTGATACTGCAGACACGGCTGAGGAAATGGCTGCATTCCCCGAGTTCCTGCTGCAAGTCGGGGAGGGAAGGCATGATGTAACTCCTTCCCTAGGAAGAGATTACATGAAGATCCCGCGCGATATGCTGATTGAGAATCCACCTGTGCCTGAGGATGAGGACCGGGAAATTCGTCCTGGTGTTATTCCAAGAGGCATGGATCGGATCATCGACGAGATGTATGGCGAGATTAACAACCCCGAGAATGATATTTTAGGCTTCGTAGTACACTTCTAATAATTAAACTTACAATACTGTTTTGCGTAGCATTATTTTGAAGACTTTTCATATTTTTGCTTGCAGTTATTTGTAGTAGTAGTACACTTAATAATTATTTCAGCGTTAGATAAAAAATCACAATTGTATTACTATAATTAATATAGTGAAAACTTTAAAATATGACTATTGTGGCTTACACCCCTGCACCCCACACTGCCTCCGGAAAAAAGTGTCGCCTTCCTTTGTATTTGCGCGCGTAGTGTGCGACATTAAGATATCGTTCGAGCTTTCCAACAATATATGTTGGAAACAGCGTTTGTGATTAAGTTAGCGCGGAGGTACGTGACTAAGCAAGAGCCCGAAATAAGAAGGACAAGAATATGACGGGAGCGTATGGGCCACGGAAGGGAACTAAATACATAGACACCCCGGCATGCCGAAATGCACGGGCTACGAAAGAGCACGCACGTTCAAAGCCACGGTAGAGGGCGTAGCGCTAAGAGTGCACGGACAGCAATTATCTCATCGCACCACGGTAGAACACGGAGCGCAGTCGACTGACCAAACATGAAGCCGCGGAAGACCGTTACCGGGAGGTTGTCGAGTATTGAAACACGATACCAGGGTAGAACCGGAGCTCACTGGGAAGCGCGATACTACTGTAGATAGCGAAAGCTTGGACGACAGACCAACCGCGACACCAAGAGATAGCACGATATCATGGACGATGGGACAGCCACTAAAACATGGGAGAACAAACAGCCACGGGAAATCACCGAATTACTGAGCACGATAGCACTGTAGAACTTGAGATCGCCGGGCCACTGAGGACGATACTTCATTAAAACACGTTTACCCGGACGGCCGACAAATCGCGGGGAAACGCTTCAGGAGACCACGATTGCACACCGCGGAGCACGGAACCATCCTAGAACGCGATACCTTTGGCAAAACATATATATTATGCGATCACGGTAACATATACAGCATAACCACATTGCGATTGCACGATAGCGCAATAAAGCGGTAGATGGAGCCACCACAGGGGTGCGCGGGACACAGGTGACAGAAAACTTCGGAAGATCACTCATTGGCGAGGGTACCAGAAATGGAACGCGACCATGAATGATTATGGACACGAAGCCTGTGGAATCCACGTAAACCCTTGAGAACACAGGATATCTAGCAGCCACGAAAGAGGGACGTACTACGGGAGCGAATGAGACCAAAGGATGCTAGCCCACAACCACTGTGAGAGAAGGAGTCCACAAATTCAGGACAATCACTAAGCAGCGTGGACCACGGGTGAACAGAGAACCACGAAACCAAGAAGAACACGGAAGAGCACAGGCCATTGAAGAACACGACATTCAGCCTGTAGTACGGGGTAACGGAAACGTATCAAACCACGATATTGTACAAAGCCACATGCGATTACGGACAGTTAAGTGGTTGACTACACGAAGCCACGACGTACTAGGTTGAACGACGCCCATAAAACACGCGACACCAAGAAGCACTAAATTTGCGGCCACCTCATCTCCAACAAACCATGCCACTCCGCCGCGTAGCGGCGGCGAACGGCTAGTCTTACCTCTCTAGTGGAGTCTGGTGTCTGTCAGTCCGTCCGCGGCTAGGGTTAATAAAACTCACGCTAATACGCGCGTTCTACTGGCTGCCGAGCGCAGCGAAGGCGGCCTCGATTCGCTAAAATTGCAATATGTGGTGTACACACTGTATGTGGTCAACACATCGTACTTAAATGCACCGTTCCAATTTCATTTTGCCCCCATTTTTAATGCTGGAGCGCCACCTCACGCAAAGGGCGCTGCGTGTGTGCGGGTTAATTTGCATTGGTAGGCTTCGCCGACGTGCACACCGGTACTATTATATCGTCGTAGGCGCTGTTGATTTTTTTTAGACCCTGGCGACACCACTGGATCGCATTTTAGCAAAGTAGTAATTCAACACTTCGAAATACTTAGTTTAATACTTAAAAAAATATTATTACTAATTTAATAAATACGTTTCTAATAAAACATTTCTCCAATGGAACGTTTACCTCCCATGTGCTCGACGTGCCAGGCGGTCATTGTGCACCCCCCGCTCGAGCCAGACGGTCTAGGGCTGCAGCTCCGGCTGTGCGCGTGTTGCGAACAATTCTTAGCATGGGATGCATTCGCACAGGGCGAGGCTCGAGCGGGTGCCCGCAGGTGCATCGCGTGCGCCTCTGGTCCATACAGCCAGGCGTTTTGGCACCGCCCACGCACACCAGAACCGAAGCCAGCCACTGATTTGCGCCAACAAAGCCTGGCCTTAGTTGCCGCCGCTATGGGCCCCCCACAACCGCCGCGGCGCGTTGTCCAGGAGCGCATTAATCGCCGCCGTCGTCGCTGGAAGCCTCGCCAGCGCAACAAACATCCGCGTAATCACCAGAAATACTGATTGGCTACAAATAAACGTTTTTCATCGGTCACAATTACTTTCGCGTTTAGGTGCGTTGTATGGGAGCTTAGGACAGGGCGTGAGCCTAGGAGAAGGTGCGAGCTTATCGAACTGGATTTGTAGGGCAGTACGAAACAGTATGTACGATGGAGGGGAAACAAATATGGACACAGAGCTACAAAGCACGGAAGCGGGCCGATGCAATTAACATGTAAATCTATGAAAGCACTAAGAGTCACGGACTCTGTTAGACTCTCTACCTAAAACCGGGCTAGAACACGTAGCTGCTACAGAGCACGGAAATCACCTACGATACAACACGTAGACCACGAAGCACGGTAAAATACGAAGCACAAACGGCAGATCTACCGGGACACCACAAGATAACTAGATAGTATGGTCTGGGCCAATATGCCATGGGAAAACGCAGCCGCGGAGCTATAGTCAGAAAATCGTCGAGCCGCGGAGATCGATACCAGTGTTGAACCTGAGCTTACCGAGCCACGGAGGACAGAAGTACATTAGAACTCAACTGCACGGACGGTGGCCCAGCCACAAATTACACGGGGGGGCTTGGGGTGACGATTGTACACCGTGGAGCATTGTAGAACACAATAACGCGGGCAGCGCAGATGCACTACGCGGGCACAATACCATATACAGCAAAACCACACCGCGATTGCACGATATCGTGATAACGCGGTCGATGGAGCCTCACCTGGAGAGCACGATACACGGGCGACGGAGCAACACGACTGCATGCAATCACCAAACCACGGAATAGCACACTTCGGCTAGAGCACCGGCGATGGAAGGCCAACGACCACGAAATAGTATCTACCACGAAGCCAGTGCAACCCACGTAAACGTTTGAGAATAGAGAAAAGTTAGCATTTACGAAAAGGCCGTACTAAAGCGCATGAACCCACAAGAGAGACGACATAACCGCTGAACAGCGTGAGCCCTGGGTGAGCAGGAACCACGAAGCCGGGATGAGTAGGAAAGAGCGCCGGCCACTGAAGAACATAACATCCAACCTGTAGTACGGGGTACCAAACCACGCTATTATACGGGTCCACATGAGACTACGGAATGGTAAGTGGTTAAATACACGAAGCCAAGACCTACTGGGGTGAGCGACGCTCACAAAGTACGCGACACCAAGAAGCACTAAAGTTGCGGCCACCTCATCTACAACAAACCATGCCACTCCGCCGCGTAGCGGCGGCGAACGGCTAGTTTGGCACATCTAATTGCAGCCAGTCGTTTGGTCGGGCGTCGCTATTGGTCGAAATTGCGGTGTCAGTTTTCTGAAGACCACTTGTTTAAAATAAAATGATTGACCATGGTCTATTATTAATAATTCAGCTTGTATTTGTTTGTAAGCGGGTGAAGAAGAACATATGCAAACTTCCTTCAATAACATTTATTTAATGATGGATACTTGTGCTCGACAATAAATACTACATTTATCCGAAGTGCAGCATGCACATGTGTGCGTGTCGGTTACCTGTACAAAATGCATTTCGTGTACGTCACCTCCCACATCTATGATGTTCAAGCACAATATGCCATCGCAGGTACAGCTAAACGGTGCAGGGCACTGACTCCCCGCTAAGGCGTGCACAGCGCGCCCCAGTAAATATAATAGAGCAAGATCAAAGCACTCAACAATCATTGCTTCTGATGAAAGGAGACGGCCATAACGTTTTTAGAATAAATACTATTAATACATGTAGTAGCTCAGAAAGCTTAATTGGGGGTTGATAGTAATACAGCTGAGCTATTCAACTAATACAACCGTCGTGGTTTCATACAAATTATAGCACTCAATCCATATCAAAAATGTTTAAAACACTCGAAACAGTACCGTCCCAGCTGTGTTTTTTTAAATCTAAAAAAAAGATCAATCATACTGTGTGACGTTTCGCGATGAGGAAGACATACTGTACGACCGGTAAACATTCACTGATAGATCTCTCAGAACCCTCATGAATACGCTACAATTCGACGTCGTGATTAAGAAGACGGACGAAGGATTCGGGATTTACTTCACGAAGGTAGCTAGAATCGAGAATGATGTCGATCTTTTAGTGGTCGATGGCTTAGTGGAAGATCCTGCGAGCTCACTTGGAAATGGGCTAAACAAAGAGGCGTTGGATTGTCTGCAGCTTGGCGATATCCTAACTAAAGTGAACGGAGAGGATTGTGAAGGAAAGAAGGTAGCAGATATCATTGGACTTTTGCGGGGTGCTAACAGTGGCGAAAATACGCTGTCATTCTCGCGCAATGTGCCAAGCGATGCTAATTTAAAGGGTGGAGTAAATACCAAGACCGATAATGAAGAGGCTGGCTCTGCGATTGAGTCTTCGAGGGGTGGGTTCATGGATGCGATTCGTAAGGTCAAGTCCAAGATTCGATCAGAAATTGACGGAGACGAGGAGGGGCTGTTCCGTGAGCAGTTTGAGGATGAACAATTTGAAAAGCAGTGGCTAGAGGAATTCGACGCGCTAAAAAAACAGTTTGAGAGAAAATGGGAGACCTGCACATACACGGCAGATGAATTCTGCGGGCTGCTGTATCGCTCCAGCGATGCTCAGCAGAAAGAGTACCTGCAGCAAGAGTACCCAACACTCATGGACGCATGGAAGGATGGATGCGCCTCCACAAGCTCGTCGAGGGTGATTCCCGAGTGGCCAGCCGTCAAGAACACCTACAGCTGTGCTGTGAACTACGATCCTATCGATAGCTCCAAGCTGGTTTTTTCCTCAAACGGCTGTAGCGGCACCAGCGTGGGCTTAATCCACTCTTCGGGGCTGCTTCAGTCGACGCTTGAATGTTTACGAGTGGACTTTATGTGGCGATCGGATAATCTACGTGCGTTCAGTCGACGCCTTGAGGCTGCTGGGATCTCCTCCTGCTCAGGACTTCTCGAGGAACTGAATGTCCGCAGGCTAAGCAGCCACTTCGAGCGCAATTTCCAGTCGGTGGAGTACCCACGGCTGACCAAGACCGTGTTACGCACCTTGCGCGAGAATGCACAGAGCGCAGTCACTGCGCCATTGTGGTAGATACTGTAGATCTGGGGAGGGGGGGGGGCAGAACGAGAAGCTGCGATCTCCGGTACATGTAAAGTGTTAGGGCATTTGTCATACTCAAGAACTGGAACTTTTGTAGCCATCTTTAAGATCCATCACCAACATAAGTCATTTTTCGACTATTCCCTCTACTTTTACGTACCAAAAAATGGACGTGTGGGGCAGTCAGAACGCGGCGCCTGGCGACAAGTTGGGGGGAGATGAGGAGGACTGGGAGCTCCCTGAGAGCGGGAAGGATGCGCTGATTGTGCTGCTAGATGTTCGCGAGGCCATGTTCTCCCCGTACCCGCACATGACAGCAAAGGCTCCATCGACGTGGTTTCACGCTATCGTGGAGCTCGTGATCAAGCTTCTCAAGTCAAAAGTGGTCGCCAGTGATAATTCTCTGCTGAGCGTCGTCTTCTTTGGAGCAGTGAGTGAATGGTCTTGTTTTGGTCGTGTCTTGTCGAGTCACTGACTTGTTTCACTGTTGCAAACCCTAAAGAACAAGCGCGGCGAAGCAGGCACACTAGAGCAAGTCTACGAATTTCAACCACTAGGATTTCCGTCTGCGCAGCGCATCAAGGACCTTCAAGTATGTTTGAATGCCCTCAACTGTTTATCCTCAGCATTGCTAACTTTCTCTTCGACATTTGCAGGCACTTTTGGAGACAGACGTCCAAGCGGAATTTCAGTCCATGCAAAACTCGGAGAAATTGTCATTTAGCAACGCCTTGTGGCAATGTGGAATTTCCTTCTCAGATGCAAAGTACGGATTACTTAAGAAGTATGACTGTGACTATACTCTACTTATCACTTTCCGTGACTGCAATTCCAGCTTGAAAAAGAAGGACTCGCAGCGTATCTGGGTATTTACTAATGATGACAGCCCGGAGGGTCCAGATGCAGAAGAGGTTGGGCGGATTAAAAAGCAAGTTCAGGTAAATCAGTAGTGGGATGCTATCGCAATCATCATAATGCATGTCTCCTTGTTATACTAAACGAATTCGTCTTGCCACAGAACCACACCGAATTGAAGCGCACACTGAACCTGTTCTACATTACTCCACCTGGAAAAGAAAGCTTTGATCTGTCAAAGTTCTACGGATGCAGTTTCCAGGACTTTTCGGCCGAAGAGAATGAGGAGATAGTCGGGAACGAAGCTTTTTTTCAACCGGCGTTTCCTGTCGGTTCGCTCGATGATCTAATGGACGGGTCGCTACGCAAGCGATTTCGCAAGCGTCGGCTTACAACATTCCCTCTCCATATCACGAAAGGAGTGTCAATTGGTGTGGAATTATACGCGCTGGTAGTCGTCCAGCGCAAGAACACCCCGGTGGCCCTCGACGCGAGCACGAATACTCCGCTCAAAACCGAGACAAAGTGGCTTTGCGAAGACACAGGAGCCTACCTTACTCCGGATCAGATCAAAAAGTATATTGACTACGGCGGCAAGCGTGTTTATTTCACTCGAGATGACGTGGTGGAGATTAAGCACTACGACGCCCCAGGGCTTCAGATCATTTGCTTCAAGCCGTTGAGCTCTCTTAAGTGGAACGAAAACATTCGTTCACCATATTTTGTGTACCCCAGTGATGGCTACATCGAAGGAAGCTCTACAGCCTTTATGGCAATTCTAAGTTCCATGGTTCGGAAGCAAAAGTTTGCCTTGGCTAGACTGATTGCCCGTAAAACAAGTGAACCGCGTCTGGTGGCGTTGGTTCCCCAGGAGGAAGAAAATGATGAGATGGGTCAGGTGCAGCCATCCGGGTTAAACGTCATCTTCTTGCCGTATCTGGATGATATTCGTGACATTTCTGCTGAGCCTGTGACGAATGGTAAGCGTTACCTGGTTAGATGTAGAGAAATGCATACCGCTGACTACAGTGTTGATTTTGTTCTCAGCCAGCCAGGAGAAAATTGATGCGGCAAAGCAATTAATCTCGAAGCTGAAGCTGACGGAAGCGCCGAGCTTCGAGAATCCGGGTGCGTTTCGTGATTAGATAGAAGCTCGGAATAAGGTTAAGTAACTATCGCTCACTGTGTTGGCAGACCTTCAAAAGCACTTTGCTGCGATTCAAGCACTTGCCCTGGACGAAGAAACACTGGAATTCGATGAAACGAAGGACACAACGCTTCCTGATGCCGAGGGCTTTGGGCAAGACGAAGTCAAGGTAAAACAAAAAAGTGGGCGTTAATGAGGTTTCTGTGCAGCGATTTAATATTGTCATCCAGGATGCGATTACCAATTTCAAAGATGTGTGCGGTGGGGAATTGCTCGACGTGTCTACTGCCGCGAAGCGCAAGGTACGTTATTCTAAGAAGTTAATTGACCAGCGCCATTAGCTCACCTTGCCACATTTGTTGTGCCTAGTCTTCGGCTTCGAGTGGGCGCAAGTCGACAACGAAGAAGACAGCAAAGGCAAAGGCAGGCTCGTCGAACAAGCCGGAAGCGGAGGAGACGTTCGACAAGAACGAATGGGCTGCACTCGTCGCATCCAACGCGATCCAGAAGAAGACTGTCGCTCAGTTGAAGGCGTTCCTGCACGCTCACGGTCTCGCAGCTGTCGGGCGGAAGGCCGAGCTGATCGACGCCGTGAAGAGCTTCATGGAGTAGATCGTAGGTTAACTAACGTGTTGAACACTGTCACACGTCGCATGAATATCAGGCTCTGCATTTTTGGCCAATCGTGGCGCTTTCTGGGCCTCATTTCTCCACTATTACTACACCGGTAGGCACACACGTGGGAAGCTGGCAAGGGGTGTAAGTACGGTAGTAGCAAGAAGGATGAACTTCCTCAAGACGCTTGGAGGTTTAGTGGGATCGAGCGCGACGGGAGGCCTGCCTTACTCGATGGACACACCGGCTATGGATGGGAACGTTGCGGCAGGCAGTGCCGCAGGAGAGAGCGTAGTGTTTGAGGGGCTGCCCGACTTCGTGCTGCATTCAGGCAAAAGCAAGCAAGATCCATCGCACGCTGTGTCCATCTTCAAGTCACGGCAGCCAGCGGGCCAGCTCACGCAAAATGCGCTGCGTCGCATCAAGACACTTCGTCACCCCAACATCCTGGCCTACCTGGATGGTACCGAAGTGCCAAACAACGGGCCCATCCTCATCGTCACAGAACATGTCATGCCCCTATCCGAGTTTCTAACAGCGCTTCGTATGGAGTACGGCGCCAATAGCGAGGAGTTCACTATGTGCGTGGCGTGGGGCCTGCGCAGTATCCTTATGGCGCTCCAGTTCATCAACGTGGACTGTAAGCTCCTGCATGGACGATTGACGCCTCAGAGCATTTTCGTTACGAAGGTATAGCTTTATCGGCAATATGGCTGCGATATGACACTGACAATGCTTTGGCGGATTGCCAGGGTGGCGACTGGAAACTGGGTGGTTTTGAGCTTACAGCCGAGATAACAAGCGATGGACCATCGTACATCTACACAGCTTTCCAGCAGTACGCGGACGTCAATTACAAGTCACCAGGTGCGTAACTTCTAGCAAGGGCGTGATAAAATATGCTGTGACGAGGGTGTTGTGCAGAGTGTCAACGCTCCGACTGGAAGGCAGTGGCGACAGGGCCATCTTATGGCGTGGATATTTGGGCATTTGCCTGTCTTATGTACTACGTATTCAACGATGGCCAATTTCGATCGAGTGATGTGTCAACGGCATCGAACATCCCGCCGGCAATCCGAACACAGTTCCGCAAGGCAATCGACGACAACGTTGCACGGCGGCCAAGTCCGCAGAAGATGCTAAGCTGCAGCTACTTTGACACACCATTTATCAAACGTATGGATTTTTTGGAGAATCTTGCCGTGAAGGACTCTGACGAAAAAGTGGCTTTCTACAAAGAGCTTTGCGCCAATCTGGAGACGCTACCGCGATGCTTTGGAGTGCACAAGATTCTCCCAGCGCTGAAACAGGTTGTGGAGTTTGGCGCAGCAACTGGAGCAAAGAATGGACCCGTGAAACTAGACCCATCGGCTAGCCACATGCTCCCTGCCATGGTCCAGATTGGCAGCTCATTATCTGCTGAAGAGTTTAAGGCGGAAGTGCTTCCGATCATCATCAAGCTGTTTAGTTGCAGTGATCGTGCTGTCCGTGTGCAGCTTTTGCAAATGATGGAGAAGTTCACTGTCCACTTTGACGCAAAGCTAGTGAACAGCTCGGTAGTCTTCGACAACTTATGCAGTGGTTTTACAGACGCGGCCCCGGTTTTGCGTGAGCTTACTGTCAAGTCAATGCTACACATTGCCGACAAGCTGTCGGACAGCAATCTGAACAACCGCGTCATGAAGTATTTTGCAAAGCTGCAGGTGCGTTGGGTACATGTGTGCGCATGAATTTGCTGGCAAATCTTGATTTGTTCCTCGCTAAATTATTCGTCGTACAGTCGGACCCGGAACCAGCCATCCGAACAAACACTACAATCTGTTTAGGAAAGATTGCCAGCAAGCTTAACGATGCAACAAGACCGAAGGTGCTGTTCCCAGCTTTTGCTAGAGCGCTGAGAGATCCCTTCCCTCATGCGCGTCTTGCTGGACTTCGCTCAATGACAGCGTGCCAAGTAAGTAACTGTGCATGATTACGTAGTCGACAGTAATCATGCAGAGTTCTTTAAGAATATCATTACCATACTAACGAGAATTGTTACTCAATGCAGGAGTTCTTTACATCCCAAGGAATGGCTGGCAGCATTATCCCAGCGATCTCACCTCTTCTTCTCGACGTGTCAATTACTGTTCGAGAGCAAGCCAAGACGTCGATTGATATTTTTATGAAGAAAGTCATGGATGAAGCTGCCCAGATGAAAGTGCGGGAGGAGCTGGAAGCCAAGGAGCGTGAAATGAAGCGCGTCTCAGGCGAGGGTGACCACGTGGGTGATGTTGCGACTGGAGTTACCCCACCACCATCTTCTAACAGTCACAGCTCAGGTGGATATGCTTCTTCTTTAACAGCATGGGCTTCTTCGGCTGTTGCTTCGAACGTTAATAAGTTGGTTGGATCTGGCGGGTCTTCAACCTCACTCTCCGCATTAGGAACATCCGCGGCATCATCGCGTTCTTCTTCCTTCTCTGGCACCAAGAACCAAAGCAATGGATTTAGCTCGACGTCCAAGCATAGCAGCTTTAACGCGTTTCCTGCCGATGATTTCTCTGCTGACGACGGCTGGGGTAATGACGACGACTTGGACGGGCTAGATAGTCCTAAACGGACCAGTTCAGGGTTTGGCTCGTCGTTGTCAGTGAACCGAGGGACTTCGTCATCGTTTACATCCCCAGCAGCATCTTCACTATCTGCGTCGCTGTCATCTTCGTCTTCATCGATCAAACTAAATGTGTCACGCAACACGGGTAGTGACTTAGCGCCTTCGGCAGCGAATACGACCACAACAACCTCTTCTTTCGCGGTAAATAGCGACGGTGGATGGGGGGATGACAACTGGGGTGGCGACGATGACCTGGGTCTCGATGTATCAGCGCCTAAGATGAACACGGGATCCCAGAAGGGTGTCGGTGGATTGAATACGTCCACCATGGCATCAAGTGCTAGAGCATCAGAATCGTCAAGCGGTTTGTCCACGCAGAGAAAAACGGCGAGCGAACGTCGTGCAGAAGCTCAAGCAAAGACCAAGGCGCAGCATGAACCTTTGGGTGCGATGAAACTGAATTCCACTACTGCCAACGCGAAAGCAGACGATTGGAACTGGGATTTCTAGATAGTGCAAGAGCTACGATTGCCCATACTACACGGCATTTTTACGAGACAGAAGTGCATCGCGATTCTAACCAAACGCGCAGTGGTTGTTTACTTCTCCTATTTTCTTTCTGGTGGATTTAGCTGCTCCAATTGCATACTGCGGAGAACTCAAGTTTTGAAGCTAATCTTGCTAGCTGCAACCGCCGCTCTACTTCGCCTTTTCAGATTCCGTCGCAACTGGCTTAATCTTGAAAAGGAAAATGTTGAGGAAATCACAAATGTCCTTCACCACACCAAAGACGAAGTGAAGATACACCGCGACGATGAAGACCACATACATGGACGATGCCACAATTGTCGGGATTAAAGGTTTGGAAAAAATTCCCACAGCAGGTCCGTAGGCATTGAAGATCACGAAGCCGAAAGGAATAATGACGCGCAGCTGCGGAGTGAACGGGATCTTGCACATGTGGCTCACAATCATTCGCGTCTACAATACAAAGACAGAAGCACCCCAAAGAAACTAAGTTAGAACCTCGCCATACAGCTACGGGTTGTCATACATGTTTGTCAACATTGCAGCAAATAGCGTACCGAGAAGAACACGTAGCCGATGCCAATTGGGAACAAGAACAACACCGGGTAGTTGGCATAGTTCTCCGCGTCAGGGCCGCAGATCCATAGCGACCCCAGAACTAGCAGAATGCCAATGGGGATCAGTTGAATCAGAGCAAGATGCTTTGAGATATGCTTGTTGCCCAGCTCGTCGCGTGGGATCGCGTCCGGGGCCGCTCGCAGCACGTTGGAGATGTTTCCGTATGCCAATAGCACATTGCTCGCCACCAGTGCGCCAATGAGAACATCCGTCATGGTCACTGGGAACGGCGTCGGAATCGGAATCTCCGCCGTCCAAAAACCTGCGCCAAAAAACGCCGCAACGAGATGAACCGCCACCAACGTCAGCTGCCCCTCTGTGACGCCGAAGAAGCCATTACCGCAGCTCATGACCCCAGTGTGGTATTCTTCCCATTGCGCCAAGTAGAACGCAATGGACACGGACGACAGCGCAATGTAAGGGCGCAAGCCGACACCAGCTTGGCATGTGGCACTGGCGCTCAGTACATTGAAAACCGTGCACACGGCGTCACAGCCGTGATCAAAGAGCTGACCTAGCGGGGACGATGCGCCGGTGCGTCGCGCCTGCTTGCCGTCTAGCGCATCCATGGTCTGGTAGAAGAACAGGCCAAGTGCCGAGAGTATGTATACCTGCACGAATACAAAAAGAGGCGAGGCCGCAGTTAGCACAGGAGTACAGGCGTTGCCTAGAAACGAAAGAGCAGTCACGCACCCACGCAGGGCAGATCTCAGAAAAATGTGGCGCGTAGTAGAGCTGGACTACTGTCGTGAACATCATAACGCCTGTGCCGATCATCGTCACGAGGTTGGGCGCCATCCAAATGGGCAGGAACTGCGCCGAATACGTCCAAAAATGGTTTAGCACATTGTCCAGGTACGTATACGATCCCCTGTAGTGAGCAGTAGGCCATAGTAGCGCGACAGTCAGTCCTCCCCGTTATTGCATCCCTCTTTGCAACCCACAGCAGCAACTCACGCCTTGTACTTGTAGGCAGCAATACCCTCCAGCGCCTTCTTCCCCAGCATTATCGTCGCTTAGTCTCTGCTGAGCTCAAGTCACCAACGCCCCTCGCCACCTTGTGCTCCCGACGAAAGATTAGCACCACAACTTTTAATGCAGCTTTCTTCTTGCTCAAATTTTATAGCCTGTATAGATTTATATCTCTGTTCATTTTAGTGTGAGCAACTTTTTGCAACACTTTTGCTCTTGCCAGCAAAAGTTAATAAACTTTTGACATTAAAATAAGGTCATTAGTTTCTTCAAAAAAAAAAACCGAGCAGAAATCGAACACCTCAATGTATTTTTAATTGTATCTTAGGATAACCGAGCAGAAATCGAACACCTCAATGTATTTTTAATTGTATCTTAGGATTTTTTTTTAAAGATACATGTTCTAGTTGCACATTTTCCTGAGATCAAATTAGCACGAAGATAAGGCATAACCTCTACAAGCGTCAAACGTGCGCGCAGTAATGACTGCGGTATTTCATATTACTCCAGCTTCTCCAAGAAGCCGTTCTCGCAAGCGGACTCAAGTCAAAAGTCTTCGGATTTCGTCACCCAGCTCCACCAGGCCTTCGTTTGTTTGTGCTGAGACAGAGAAAAACGGCGACGGTCCCAGCCTGTATCAAAATATAAAGAGACTGAGCACTAACAACAACTGGAGGCATTGAGCTCTTGCACACACACACACACACACCTGTCCTTCAGCGACGCCAAGTCGTCCGACGGCTGATCAGATTTTGAGATGATGTCGATCCACATGTGCTCAGGGCGAGCTTTTAACACTCGGTGTCGAAGCTCATCCCGAAGTAGAACCTGGTCAGCCGTTGGCGTGCCAGACGAACCCGTCGGGTCGAACACAAAGCCAATCGACTACAAATGACCACGTACACGTAAAGCAAAGTGTCAGACAATAGGAGCGAAGTTCCTAAAGCAGCACGACATACGGCCTGCGTCTTCTCCATCATCGCAATAGCCAACTTTTCAATGGCATTTCGGGTCTCGTCAGAACGGAAGATCAGTCCTGGGGTGTCTGCAATCTGCGCATTAATGCAATGATTCATGAGCTTCGGTAGCGGCCGTGTGATGCCTGTCAACTCTTCATTACCTGGTACGAAATGCCTTCTTCGAAAATGTGGCCCATGGTAATTCCACGTGTCGTAAACGGATAATTAGCCACCTGGATAGTAGAGTGATAAAGCGTTAGTCCTCAGTGATGTTGGCAGTTTGTGGCCGGGATCTGCAGCTCAGCACAATGGCGTCTACCTCCGGAGAAGCCGTAGACAGAGCACGAACTAATGATGATTTTCCTGGTAGCCATGTGAGTGCATGAAGCGGTGATAAAACACATTAAAAATACAATAACAGACACGAGACAAATTCCATCGTACCAACATTCGGCGCTCCAACAAAGGCGAAAATGGGTTTATCCAGGTCCACATGAGGAAGTCCACGAAGCACCTTGGCCATGTTCGCTACCTCTCGTAACGTGCCCGCATTGTCGTCCACAATCTTTTTGAGCTCCTATATCGTTGCACCATAAAGCTCAGCCACAGCCACCAGTCCGTGTCACACAGCCCCCACCTCAACGCAGCGCAATCCGCAGTCGACCGCCTCCTGCTTGGTGCGCAGCTCCTGACACTCGCGTTCGTAGTGCTTGCCCGTATTGTGCAACGATGCGTACACTTTGCGCAGCCTCTGAATGTGTTTCTCGTACGTGCCTTGGCCCAGCGTAAGAACCACCACCTCCCGCTCGAATGGGTGCATACGCCTGAGCGCCGGGAAATCCAGTGAGGCTTGACGCGTGACGCCTGAGAGTTTACCCAATTGCATGTTAATGAGACGGGAAGTATGGTTCTTGGCGCGTTTAATAGGGTCTGTAATGCGGTTGCTCTCGCGCACAGGTGCTCGCCAGAACTTCATCTCCTGGATCTCCGAGGCCGTGCGCACATACGGCAGTCTGCAGCAGCCCAAACAAGAAAATAGTAATAATTAGTGAGTCAATATAGATTAGTAGTAAAGGCGCTCACTTCTGCAGCGCGCCATGCGCCACACTTGTCAGCGCTCGCTGCGCCATTTGAGAGTCAAAAGACAAAAGCCAAGTAGTACTATGGTAGCACCCACTGGGTACTGTACTACTGGTCGCATCAAAAGCTGAAGTACTACTACAGTAGTAAGTATTAATAATTCAAAATGCATTTCATTTTCTTCCAACTGCTTCTCTGGCTACGCTACGCTATCACTTCACGCAGCTTGCGCGTACCACCGCATACCGTTCACATCGAGTCAACCTCCTTCTGTCACTGCACTGTCACTTCGCACAGCTTACGCGTACCGCCGCATATCATTCACGTAGCGGATGCTGAGGTAAACCTTCGCTTCTGATTCACACTCTCGTAGTGGGATACCCACAGGTGAGGGCGGGAACGTGCCATCGAGGCAAATCGAGTGCCCACTCAACACACTCACTTCTTGGTCGTAATCCTCGAATCCTTCATCTTCATCCTCCGATAGAATGCTGCTGCCCGATTTCGGCGGGCGATTGAGTCGCTGCCGCCACGAGTCGTCGCGAATCTCCATCGGGCGCTCGCTGGCCGAGGCTAGCTTACTAATGATACTTCCGCGCACTCGCTTGCGGCGCTTGAGCTGCATCTTGGCATTCGTATCTGCCAACAGCTTTGCAGGCACCGAGTCGAAGTCGCGGTAGATTTCTTCCATGGAAAAGCGGACGAAACCGAGGCGCTTCTTTGGAAGCGGCTTGCGTTTGTGGTAGACATTCACCTCGATGAACGTGTCCAGCGACGTCACGCCAACCAGCCACGACTGGTCATACTTGGGTGTGCCAGTGTGTCTTGCGGTTGACGACTTATACTCACCGAGCTCCTTCGCAGGGAAGCCATCCGTCTGCGAGTAGACGCGCACCACGACCTTCGGGTTCACGTTGTCCGGCAGCCCATCGATATACAAGCAGTGCACCTCCACTTCCGTAATCACGTTCGAGTCTGAAAGCTGCTTCAGCGATCCTGTCTGCAGATTTCGCGCAGGTCGACGAGTTCCCTCAAAATGCTTTTCGTCCATCAGGTGTGTGGTGTTGCTCACTGACTGCGCCAGCTTTTCGACCACACCCAGCGTGCCTACAACAGGAGACGCAACGAGCTGCAACGTGCCGCGGCCAATTCCCTTCGCGAATCCCTTGACACCTCCACTCTTGGCTCCACGGACAGGTTCCTTGACAAAGCCAGTCACACCATACGCAATACTCTTTCCGAGCACCTTGCCGCCCTGCATAAAACCTTCGGGAATGTGACGGGGCTCGCTCTGGTCCTCTTGGCTCTCAAAATACGTCGCTTTCTTGACCACGTCGCCCAGACCGTTCGACACCTTCCCGATAGATCGCAGAGGTACACCGAAGACAGTTTGGACGACAGTCACAGCACTCTCGCCCTTTCTGCGGCTCTTACCCCTCACATCGCGCTTCAATTGACGCGCAGCAAGCGCGAAACCATCCACAATATCCGTGGCAAGACCAACCGGATCACCCAGCATCTCCACACTGCCAACAATCTTGTACCACTGCCCAATGACTGAGTGAACGATCTTCAACACAACATCATAGATCAGGTCGTATTCGTTGAAGAAGCGGTTGTGGTAGAGAATCTCGCCAAAGTGGAACTCGGGCGTCACGTGAGCAATCCCACCGACAATACTTCCCATGGTATTGCCCAAAATTGCGGTAATGCCTTCACCCTTGCCTTCTTGTAGCGAATCAAACACCAAGTCGAAGTCGTATCCACTCATATGCCAGCGTCTGAAATACATCAGCATGCCAGCCGAAACAGAGCCATCCGGGAACGGGATATTCAGAACAAGCATCGAGTTCTTTGCTTCCAAGCCTTGCTGTAAGATTGTGGCCTCATCACTACCCGGGATAAACTGGAAGACCAGATTACTCAGACCAATTAAGTACTCAAGGTTCAGCTTGACTGCCATCGACCCGAGCTGCAAGTCGAAATCGTTCACAATGACAATGCCAGTTTGTGGGAGCGTTTCACAGCTAAGAGTGAAGAATGGTTTTTCACCGTCGCCGGGAAGCCAACCTTCGCGTTTGTCGCTGTTAAAACCACTATCAAGGGGAGCGAAGACGACGGGGTACGCCGAGTGCTGGGTCATATCATCGAATTGAACGTGATGAACCATTAAAGTCACACGGCGAGACTCTGCCTTCGAGTCAAACCGAATGGTTTCCATGGTGATGTTCAAAATCTCCTGCGGTTGCTCGTCCACCAATGTGATTCCAACTCCATGCACCGAAACATCAATCACCGTGTTGCTGAGCCAGTCACTAACAACTGCACGCTGTCGAACATCCGAATAAACCTTAGTGTCTCCCATCGCAAATACTCGCGTGGAGCCGTCGATATACACCTCGCCAAAAAGACCCTGCGGTGTATTCTTCACTTGCCCAATCTGCATAAAGTCAACAAGCGTTGGCACCTTCCAGTGGGTCGCAGTAACGCGCAGTTCCAAGTCGCCTTTTGGATCTTCCCAAGCGAACGAATGGCTTTCCATAGGACCCAAAACAATCTCTTCCGCAGTCTTCACACCGTGCTGCACGTATCGGAATGAGCAACGCGTTGAACGGTTCTCAATACGATAATTTGGGTTGGTTGAGATGTCACTCACAGTCGCAAATACTGTCTCAGCCACCTCGTGCACGTTCACACTGCAAACAGGGCCATCGCCCAAGCTTCCACGCGTCCAGAACACAGTGTCCTCAGACATATTGTAGGTGACGTTTGGATCGCTCATCTTAGAAGCTAATTTGAACAGTGGCATGGTCGGACTCCACTCGCCAACATCTTGGGTTTCATTGGCCGCATCACGGATGCGCAGACCGGCTACATACTTCTCAGGGCCTCTTAGACGATAAACCACGACTGCCTCGCCTTCTCTTAAGGTACAGTAAGCTTGATCGGAACGGCTTCTGCCGCGATTCCCCTTTTTGTCCAGTAAGATTGGGGTCATCTGCAGCGACCGCGGCACGTGGTTCAGAAGCACAAAGCGTGGTGAGATGACGAAAATTTTCGACCGGAAAAACTGCGCTGGTGCAGCACGAATTTCAAATGCAAGTACGAAAGAATAGTTCCCAGATCCACTCGGGCGCAGCTCTCCCTTCTTGCTTACAGTTGCCATATCTTCGGGCTCCGACCACCCCAACTTTTCGAAGTCTGGTAGATATTTTTTCGTCGTTCCAGGCACTAATGATTCACCTTCGTACGCGGGCGGTGTTTCTTGGAATGGACGGACACCAATCAGAGCCTTGTCAGGTGAAGCAGTAGCCATCACAGGAATTTCCTTGGCATCGGGAAAGTATGCACGGTGCTCTTCAACAGTACACACCCGACCACGAGAGAGCTTAAAGCGAAGGTCCAAGCCACTTCGGTTTTGAATCCAGAAAGGGGAGTAAAAGAAGACTGAGCGAGCAGAATTTTCTTCCCATTGCGGGTGAAAAACGAAACTTGGACCATCGTCAAATAGCAGCTCAAACGCGTCTTCGTTGAACGATTCGCGCTCCGCTTCAAGATGCACTAAGAATGGTGCACTCCAGGTTGCAGCTCGAATTGATTCACTCGCACAAAGGCGCATCATCATCAAAGCGGGCTTACTTAGATCCAGACCGAATACTTGAATAGTCTTGCCGCTTTCAACCCACATTTTGCGGCTGTTGACTTCATTCACATAGGCAAAGTAGTCGATCTGTCCCAGAGTTTTCACAGCTCGCGACTTCTTGTCTTTTCCAGTATTGTCCACAACGCGGAACTCCCCCTTACTGGTCAGTTTGTCTGCCGGGCAATCACCAGGTTGGACAATAGCATACTCCACACCACAAGGAAGAACGTTGTGAAGCACCAGCTGCGGCTGAATCGTCAGCGACCAGGTTCCTAAGAGAGAGTTGTTGGCAGAAATCTTTTCGATGACAACAGTAGGCTGGTTGTCGATGATGCTGGACGATGGGTAGATAACTTCTTTTCCAGCAGGCACACACTCACTCGGGTCGGGGAGTACAGCATTTGTCCCCAGCTTTTCCTTCACGCGCCTAGCAGACGAAACTGAGCCATTGCTTTCTCCGCGCAGAGCTTTCTTGGCCTCGATCTGCTCAAACTTTGTCATCTTCTTATACAATCGTTGATCTGAGACAGAAAGCTCCAATTTGTTGCTCCACTCCGTTTCTCCAGTCTGCCGAATAGCGAAAGACCCGGCACCAACCAAGTCCAAGGGAATGTTGATCATACCAAGAGCGGGGAGCATAAAAAATCGTTCTTCCCCGTTATTTTGCTCCGGATTACAGGGCGCAGCTTCTCCTAGCTCGTTGTACATCTGCAGCTCTGTGTCCTTTGCCGTTCCATTGCGAACACATTCCGCACCAGAAACCTTCACTTGGAGACCGTACAAACCATCAACAGAAATGTGAACAGCGGCTAGCACAGGTAAGTACTGCCGCACGCAATCCGCGTAATAAGAGTCAATCCACTCATAGTTGGGATCAATATCCTTCACCCGACGCAAGCAAGCGTACGCCATCTGCAGCTCTTCTCGCGTCGGCTCGTCCACCTTCGTTAGTAGAGCCACACCCCGGTCATAGAGTATTTCGATCGACTTCTCCGACTCGACATCGTCGAAAAAAGGTGTCAGCTCGAAGACCTGAGTTTGGCCTATGGACATCAACGGCACGCCATGGATCGTCCGGTAGCCCTCGATCTCAACCGAGATGTAGTGGTCAACCATGGAACGCGACTTTGCAATCGCTATCTTAAATTCTTCCCACGACACTTGTCCAGACTTGTCTGTGTCGGCCAGCGCGATGAAGTCTTCCACAGCTTGCGCAAACTCAGCTTCATTGTCCAAAATACTGCTGCTACTGCGCTTGTACAACGACGATTTCCCCGACGTTCTCCGCTGCTTGTCTTCCTCCTCATACACGCTTCGAAGCACAGAGCGCACTTCCTCTGTGTCGAGTTCACCACTCCCATCTTGGTCAGCATCCCTATAAGCTTGGCGTAGTTGCTTTTCCTTCAAACTTTGCTGCTCGTACTCCTCTGCTTCACTGTTATCCAGCAGCTTACATGCGTGCGTCCCACCAGTGGGCACAGCTGTGACGGCTGTCACAATCTCTTCCTGCACACGCTCCTTTACTCGCTTCTTCGCCACCATGTAGTACTTAACGTTGACGCCGCATTCATTTAGCATCCAAAAGATAGCACCGATTTCCTTAACATGCGGACGCTCGGCTTCCGCACGGTGTTCTGCCTTGGAGAAAGTAGCTACGTTCGAGTTCACCGCTTCCATGAAAGCGGATGTGACGTTCAACTGGAAATAACGGTCTGACGAGTAGACCACCTCCAACGGAGACGCAGGCTCTTTTCTAATATCCAAAATTCCTTGATAGAACTCGATGAAAGGTTCAATTTGCCGCGCTTTCGTGTTGTAGTAGTTGCCGTACACGTCAAAACTGATTTTGGCGACACCGAAGCTGTTTTCGGATCGCTCTCGAGCTTGGAGATCAGTAGCGGGATTAGAAGAAGCGCCCTCCCACACCGAGAAATTGGCATAAATGCCCAGTTCTTCCAAAGACATCTCGATAGCCGGCGTTCCCATCGGCAGCATTTCATCAATCAGACGCAAGTAGAACCCGCCAAACGATGTGGAAACAACAGTCTGTACAAAAATCTGTTGTTCGGCAACAGACTCCGGGTTCAAAGTAGCCTGATCATGCGCATCGTCCTTCAGACTTGACAACAACTGATCGATCACGTCTCCACGGCCTCCCATGTCCATCTCCTTAGTCAGCAGCCAAGAACTCTGCTCACCCGGTTTTACCAGCGACGGCTTCACAATTCGATTCCACGCCTCTTGAGCATAATCATAATTCTTGAACGCACGAACCATTTTCTTCTGTACAATAACAGGTCGCTGGCCTTTGAGTGACGACATCGACGCACCGATTTGCTCTTCATAGTGCTCCCAGAAAAAAGCAAGGGCTGCAGCGTTGGCGAGTGTGTTGGCGCTATCACCAGAAAGATATGGCACTTTGTTTCGCTGCATGTCGGGGTGAACGTATTCCTGACCAGTTATAGAAACCACGTTGTGGTGTAGCCGCGTGTACAGAATTTTGTTCCTGCTCAGTGCGTTTTCAAATTCTTCAAGCGAAATGTCACCGCTTCCGTCACTGTCCACAATGCTGACAAAGTCTGCTACTGTAGCGTCAAACTCAGTTTTGGTTAAATTGTCGCAGTCAGTGGCACTCCGTAGAAGGTCTCCAATCTCCGATACATCCAGCGTCCCGCCACCGTCGGTGTCACGCAGCTTGAATTCCTCCTTCAGTCGTTCCATATAGCGCTTCTCTTCAACTTTACGCCTAGCTTTCATCATACGAGCTTCGCCCTCCTCTCGTTTTTTTATGACTTCAATATCCTCCTTCATTGATTCGTTGAGCGACGCCAAAATGCTCAAAAGAATGCCCAGATCAGTAGGAGAGAGATTCAGCGCAAAGTCAGACATTTGCATCATCAACTTTCTGCGTGCATCGGCCTTGGCGCGATCTCTGCGATCAAGGGTCACTGAACGCTCCTCGACCTCCTCAATGTCTGGGTGCTCAGCCTCAATTACTTGAGGTTTCGTAGCAGCTTTCCGAGCGACGTTCCACAAACTCGACGCGGACTTTCCAGTGCCTTTGAGCGCCTTATTACCAAATTTGGATGACACTTTAGCTGGATCACCAACAGTAAGCCTGTAGCCCATTGAGAAATCGACGCCTTCGCCCTCGAGTTCCAAAATGGTCCGTAGATCACCAATGTCAAGCTCAATTGCATCATCACGAAGGATGATCGTGCATGGAGTCAAAGCGACATCCACCAGTTCCAGCTCCACAGCTTCTGAGCGCTCTGAACTCAAGACTCGAACCTTGGTATCCGCAGTGAAAGCCAAGACGGGGGACTTAAGAGTTTTGGAATCTCCAATGAGGCAGAACTCACATCCCTGCAAAAGAACACTACATCCAAGCTGCATTCCACCGAGCAATAAGGGTGAATATGCTTTCGGCAGATCTTCCAAATAAAGGTGCTTCACAGCATCTCTCCGCTCTGGAGAATCCATGGCATCTGCCATCTCGCAATCAATGAAACGCATTTGCTCTTTCTCGTCTTCGCTAATCGCGGGCAGAAACTTGTGCATGATGTCTAGCAGCGGATCAAACACGAGCAATAACGAAAAATGCTTAAACGTCACGCCAATGTCCATATAGCCGTCTCCACGCTGTGAGATCGCGATCGACATCATATCTTTAGCTTCAGGGTTGCGATCCATAATCTGACGGAACACATTAGTTGGAGCGTCACGGTTGTCCAGTAAACCAAAACGCACAGCATCCAACGCAATTTCGACGGCTGTGTCGTTTTTGGCGATCTTTGTCATGCGGTAGCGCAGTTCGAACTCCACCTCCTGGACAAAGAATGTCATCAGCTTCTTCTCGTTGTCCTCGATCATGACCAAGTTCATTCTCTTCATCTTGAATGACAGTCTGAACAGATGGAACATCGGCGGAGTCTCCGGTATCTTGTCCTTGTCCACATAGTGGTCGGCAGGGTTCTCCACAAAGTTGCGCAAGTTTCCTCGTTCCAAGTCCTCTTCACTAACGTACGACAATGGCTCGCCTGCATTCGGAATTTCCCAGCCAAGTGAGAGAGAACGCAGGTAGAGGAGTTGCGTAGCCAGCACCTTGACTTCCAGTTCATCTAATCGAGCCTTGCGCTTGACGATGGCCTCCTTCAGCTTGTAGCCCTCGTACAGCCGAAACAGAAAGCTTTTCTCATTGTCGAGCTTCCACTGTTCATTGAATAGCGACATGTACTCTTCGGACTCGGCTGGGCCGAGCTGTACGCATGCGAGATCATCCGCGATGGACGCTGCCGTTTGCCAATCATAATAATAATTAATCGGTTGCAACAGCTTCAATAACATGCCAGCTTGTGCAGGACGCAACTCAATATCAAAATCTCGGCCCTTTGCGAACGAAACCTCGAGCTCAAATGCGCGCTCACCCGTGCCCTGTCCCATGATGAGCGACTGGAAGATGAAGGGCATGAACACCCCGATCTCCATGGTGAGAGGAGCAATCAGATGACAGGCGTTCGCGCTGCCTCCAGGTTTCGAGTTAAGGAACATTTCGTAGTCCACTAGTCGCATCGCACGTTTCCGCCGGTTGTCGTCGGTCGAACCGCTTCGGCCCATCTCGAACTCCTCCATTGCAATACCCACCGTCGCACCAGAGTATTCATCACGAATCAAGAGTGAGAACGATTGCAGCATGAACTCAAACGAGTCCAGGATCTCGTCCACCCACAAGTGCCAGGAGGAAGGTTTGGACGGTGCCTGCTCCGTGGTTTTCTTTCGTTGGGGCTTCTCGGCTTCACGGATCCGCTTGCGCAGGGTCGCGAGATCCTTGAGCTTCTGCACAATTGTGGCCGTCCACGTATTGATGCGAGCCAATCGGGCTTTGGCCGCTTGCTTTACCGCTTCCACGCAGCGCTCGGCGTTCTGGTGGCGGTGCCACATCCACTTCTCGGCAGTGTCGAGCCTTAGGCCAACACGTAGACCGCCAACCAGCAGCTTCGACTCCATGCGTCCGTGTTTCGGGTCCACGGGTTGGCCGGTTACGACTCGCACGAGGTGTGCCCAGAGCGGCACAACCAGTAGTAGACGCTTCATCTCCAGGCGCTCCAGGCCAAAAGGAAGTCCAGCCAGCGGCTCCAGCTCGGGCATTACGTGCTTTCCCACCACCAGGTCACATAGCTCCAGCGATCCGTCACGCAGCGACCAGGAAATGGAGAACTTGGCACCAACGGACGAAGCTGCAAACTGGCGCAGTAGCAGCGTCAACACCACGTCGCCGAACGCCGCGAAGGCCGCCATAGCCACTAAGCCCAGCAGCAGCAGCACGAGCAGTAGCGTCCACATGATGTGTGCCGCAGGGGGAGGGGGTGCTGTCGTTGAAAGAACTACTTGCGAGATCGATGTGCGGGTTCGCTGTGGAATATGCGTGAATGAAGCGAAGGGTGTCGGAGCAAAAAATGCTAACACTGTACCGGATACCGGTTGCTGTCGCAATGGGACTCCAACTGTGGAGTCCACTTACGCAATTTGTGACCAATCAAGATACCTGATCTCAAATCCGCGGCCTCCCATTGGCTTTCATTTGTTAATTGTTCAATATCCTGTTTTCAGCCATCATCTGTCCTAGTCAAGCTCGCCAACGTTAGTATAGGGCGACGCTCTATATGGGTCTTGGACATGCATACCACCGTGCTGCATTTTCTTCTTCCCCAATTCACACAGAATGTCGGCGCGGCTTAGGATTCGCACAGGCGAAGCTGTGGTGTCTCTGTCGTCCGTCGCCAGTGCGCAGGCTCGCTCCTCGTCCTCACCCTAAATTGTACCCACGCCAACAACAACACAAAACCAGTCAGTTCCGCGGTAGACACTGCGAATGAGCTGCTACCTAATCGGAAAGGCCATCGTTTTCTCGTTGTAACTGCAGGTAAGTAAATGCAGCTCACCTCAAACGCTGACGGCAACGACTGCGGGCGCAGGAGGCAAGGCGCGGCGCTGGCACGCTGCTGCAACTGGGCCCAGGTCTCGCGAGGCTCGAAATCAATTGAGCCATGTCTGACTAAAAACGCTTCAATTGGCGGTGGGGGTGGAAGATTCAGTTGCCCTGATGCTGCCACATCCGCGGCGGTGTCGGCGTTACCGGTGCAACGATCGCTGCTATCGTTGTTCTCGCTGCGTTCATCAATATCCTGCTGGACTATCTCATCTTCAACAAGTAACGTCGAGTGTTCATTCTCGCACCTCACCGTCTCGCTGTTTGCTGCAACTTCACGTGTACCAACATGTTCCGTGTTGTGCACGTACGTTTCGACCAGTGAAATGTCCTGCACCGCTTGCATACCGGTATCTGAGTTGTCCTCAGCTTCAACGCTTGCAACAGCTGGTTTTAAGGCGTCTTCAATCAGGCCGTTGCCAGGCAACTTGCCGCTGCTAGCGGAGACAATATTTGACGCGGCCCCGTTCACATAACATCCAATACCTTCCCCTTTCTCGGCTTGCAGTACAGGCATATCGGAGGCTATTCCTTTTGGTTGAGCCGCCGCTGACGCTGCCCAGAAATCGGATCCCATCCGCGCGATCCCGTTGCCCAATACTTCGTATTTCGCTTGCTGCGAGTCCGCTTGGGCTTCCTCGATGCGGATATCCCACTTGGCACGTTCGGTGGCATCCATCGCAACATACTCCTCCTTGGTGATTGCCCGAAAGCCACGTAAGTCTACATCAATCTCTTTTGGTTCGACCGTTTCGAGCAGCTTCTGCGCACGCTCCAGCTCCAACTCCTTGATCCTTCGCTCACGAACTTGCTCTTGCCAGTCCCGAAATTCTTGTAAGCTCCGGCGACGCTCTTCGTGTTCCTGATTCACAAATGATCGCTTGGCTTCGCGCTCCGCTTCAACGCCACCAGATTGCCATGCTGTTACTGAAGCACGCTCAATAGGGAAAATAGGTCGGTCCAGGAACGACAGTTGAGGTAGAGCTGCAATGTACGTCTTTCGAAACGAGCGCGTGCTGGAGACCACTGGGTTGCCTGTGATTCGTAGCGCCTTGAGCATTGGCACCGCTTTGAGCACGTTCAATATATCTGGGTCCTCGATTAGGTTGTGGCTGATATCGATGTTGTTCAGCAGCGGACATTGAGAGAGCTCTAGTAAGTCTGCGCTTGTTGTCAGGCGGTTGCGGGTCGCGTTTAGTGACAGCAGGTTAGGTAAACGAGCTAGTCCTTCAAGCGACTGGATGCGGTTTTCGCTCAGGTCCAGCGTGTTGAGTTCGCACAAAGCGTGCAGGTTCTCGACCTTTTCGATGAGGTTTTTGCTCAGATAGAGACACCGCAGATTGACGAGATGCTCCAAGTTCTCGATTCTAGTGAGACCATTGGATTCGAGCCAGAGAGCCTTGAGATTGTAATACGCTTCTAGACCTTCGATGCGCTGGAACCCACGAAAATGCGCGTACAAACTATCGTTGAGCTCTGGTGTTTCGTACCCGTCATTGTCGAGACACAACTCTCGCAGCGTCTCGGCATCCATGACGGGCACCTGGCCTTTGTGTTCCTTGTGAGAGCGCTTTTTCTCCAGCTCGCGCAACCGGTCAAACGGTGACATCATGCTTGTCGAAGGCATCTTGTACTCGGAGAACAAACGGAACAACGAAAAATGAAAACTGGGCTACGAAAAGTCGCGGACGGTTCAAAGATATTCATTCATCTGAAATCTGTTTCTCTACTGGAGCCAGGTAAAATACAATTGTTACTACAGCTTGACCGACGATGCACCTGACAACTGGAGCTTACGAACGGCTTAGAGATCGATAAGTTTGAATTCTTCGCGAAAGCGGGCGATATCTTTCGTATCCGCAATCTTCACCAAATCGAACCGTTCCATGCATGTGAAGCAGATTCTTAAATAGCTCCAGATGTGGTCTGCACGGTTGTTCAAGCTCAACGCCTGCAAGTAGCACTTCGTAGCCTCCTCGTAGTTCCCCAGATTGGCGTGGCTGATTCCCAGGTTGAGCCACCCGCGAGCATATCGTGGCTTCAGCTCCAGAGCACTGAAAGAGCAAAAGCGCGTTAGAAAAACAAACCGAGATTTTGTGGTATCACACACGATTCAACGTACCGATGGTACGCGGGAATGGCCTCGGATGAGCGAGCTGAATTTGCTAAGGTCGCTCCTATCTTGTTCCACAGCGCATATTCATCTGGCTGTGAGTCCGTAGCAGCCTTGAAGCTCGAGACTGCTGCATCGTAGTCCTTTGACACGTTGTACAGGACACCCAGCACGACTTGCACATCCGAATCACTGGGATCGTGTGCACGAGCTTGTAGCATAAGCTGCATCACCTCATCCATTAAAGATCCGTCGCTATATTCGTCTACCTGGATCTCCAGGCCGTGAAACTTCGGGTTGTGCTGCACCCAAGCCTTCAGTGTTTTCAGAGCGCCTTGCGGGTTCAATTCGTTCACATTACTAACACCGAGTGCCAACAGTGCACTCAGATTGTACGGATCTTCCTCCACCGCACGTTCCAGGCAAATAATGGCGCTCTTGTCTTCGTCGTTCTCTGCGTGACACTCACCAAGCATTCTCCATGCCTCACTGTTTTCTGGGTGCTGCTGTACCTCTGCTTCAAAAGCCAGGATCGCGTCATCTAAATGACCAGACTTGAAGAACTCAATCCCCTTCTGAAAATTCTCGGACGAGTCCAAGAAAGGGTTCTCGGCCTTGTAAGTGTAGTCCTGGTTGGTAGCATTATCCCACGCATCTTCGAACGGGTCTGTAGTCTGGGCCTCCGCCATTGCTTTCTCCCAAATTGCTTCCTACAAAAAAAAATAATTAGGAAACCTACGCGAGATCACAAGCGAAATCCAACACACGTACCAAATTGTCACTCTCACCCCACGCGCTGTCCATCATCTTCTCCTCCGCAGTCTTTGAGTCACCCCACGCCTGGTCTAAGCTCGTAGCATTAGCTGTACCTGCCTCCTTCCACGCTCCTTCAAGCGGATGTGCGTGAGCAGCAGATGCTTCTGAAAACGCATTCTCCATGGCCGCTGCTGACCCATTTTCACTCTGTTTCCAGCTCGCGTCGAAAAGATCTCGGTTCGAGTGCATATCCGACGTGTCTTCCCACGCCCCTTCCAGTGCGCCCTCCATCTTGAGATGGCCATTGACAACTTCGTTTTTTTCCTCGTCAATTTGAACCTCACCCGCGCTCACCTGATTCATGAATTTAAGGAATTGACTGTTCTGGAACTTGGAGTTTGGATTCTGACTCATAGTCCGCGCCATCTCGCTGGAGGCCTGCTGCGCCTCCAAATTCTTCGCCGCCTCCAGATCCAGTAAAGTGTCGGCCTGCTGAGCTGCCACTGGAGCAGCTTGCATCATAGGCTTGTGCATGGGCACCGGTGCCTTCGTCTCTTCCCACGCCACCTCGTGGTGAGACTTGCCAGCCGTCTGCCAGGCGTCATCGAGATGGTTGGAGCGAAAGTCTTCGACCCAACTGTCATGCTGCATGGCACGCGGATACATCATCTGCGGGTCCATTATGGGCGGCGGTGGTGGACCTGTCATGTGCTGGAACTGCGCACGCTGGGCCTCTTCGAACGCCGCCTCCATCGACGCCTGGTGCGCATGCATCATCTGCTGCTGTGCTTCACCCGACCGAAAGGCTGCCTCCATGCGCGAGCGGCTGGCTGCCTCTTGCTCGAACGCTGCAAGGAACTGCGGGTTGGCTCCCTGTACTACGTTAGGGCGCTGCATTTGCATCTGCAGCTCACTCCGCGCTCCGTAGGACGCATGGCCTCGGGCCTGACGGCCACGTGCTTGTGATTGCACGACGCTGTCTAGCGCGCGTGACAGCGGGTTCTGTGCCGCCACGGTACCGTCCACGGCGCAGCCTGTGCCTTGTACGATCTTCCCCAGTACGTCCATTGTCTGCTCCTTCCTGACGGTCTTTGTTGGTGTAGTGGAAATGGTGGTGGCTTCTGCCTTCAAGAAGCCCTCTTGGTTTGCGTAAGCGGGACTGCTTAATACTTTTTAAAACGTATTAGTTTCGAAATAATGATACAGACTGCCTCTTCCTGCTACTACTTCGAAATAAAACAATTTTAGCACGTCTGCCTCAAATTGAAAAAAAACAGATTCTGAAAAAACTAATTATTAGGAATAGCTCAATTTTATTCAAAACTTTATTTTAAAACCCGCGTTTTGAGTCAAAGGGCCAAATGGCGGGATCCGACAGCTCCGAGGAGGACGAGCCTATCGCGGCGCCGCAAGCGGCCCCTACTCCACCTGTACGGCTGTATAAAAAAATCCGTCGTCTTGTCTCTCTTCTCGTACTAAAACTTTCTTTTTATTCCTCTTGTAGAAGGCGTGGATGGACGAAGATGCCGACGAAGAGGAGGAGGACGCCGATCTGAGCCAATTACAGCGCCAGCGCACGCCTAAATTCAAGCGCTGCGTGGCTGCTGTGGAGAAGGACCAATGGAACACCGACGCGTGGATCGCACTCATGAACGAGGTGCAGCTGCTGCCAATTGCTGAAGCCCGCGAACACTACGAGGCGTTTTTGAAGCTATTCCCCACCTCTGGAAGATGGTGGAAGCTCTACGCTGAGCACGAGTTACGAGAGAAACAGTACGACCGAGTGCAGGAGATCATAAAGAAGTCGCTTATGCAGCTGCGCTGTCCCAATGTGGACCTGTGGCGCTTTTATTTGGACTTCACTAAGGTCGTCAAGCTGGATGTGGCTGTGGACTCGAAGGACGCAGCAGCTATTGCTACGGCCAGACAACTCATGGTGGACGCCTTTGAGCTGGCTGTCGAGAGAGTAGGCGGCTCTATCCATGCAGCGCCTATCTGGCAAATGTACTTGCTTTTCGTACAGGAGGAACAGGACCCGCAGGCCTTCCTGAACGTAAGGAAGCTCTACCATCGCATGGTCATGGTGCCACTCAACGGTATGGAGACCATCTGGAGAGACTACGAGAAGTTTGAAAGGGCTATTCCCAATAACGAAGCGCTGGCACAGAATTTCTTCAAGGTCTTCAGACCCAAATTTGATGCTGCCCGCGCAGTGCTACGAGATCGTAAAAAGTTGTACGACCAGGTCAACTCGAACACGCTGGCAGTGCCCGCGACAAGCTCAAGAGCTGATGCTGCGGATATGGCCAACTGGCAGAATATTCTCGCGCTGGAAATGGGAAACCCCGAGCGATTGGACGCGCTACGCCTTAAGTCGCGCATGCGCTACACGCTCGAGCTCTTTGTGAGTGTGAAAAGGCATTACCCCGAGGCGTGGTACCAGTACGCGTCGTACGAGAACCAGGCGAACGATCCAGATGCAGCAACTGGCGTGTTTGAACGCGCGATTGAAGCTCTCCCCGACTCGAGCTACCTGCACTTTGCGTTTGCTGACCACCACGAACTTCGTGGGGATATTCCAGCTGCCAAGGCCATTTACGAAAAGCTGCTCAAGGATCACGCGTCGGCACTTGCATATGTCACGTACCAGCGCTTTGCTCGCCGTGTGTACGGGGCCAAGGGGCTAGCTGAGGCTCGCACAATCTTCAAAAGAGCACGCAAAGACGAGCGTGAGGGAGCGTGCACATACCACGTATTCGCAGCTTCAGGTAAGCAAGTACCTGAGTACATTTGGTGGCCTTTTCAAGCTGTCTAATGGCGATGTGGTTGCTACTCGTGCAGCTCTGTTGGAGTTCTACAGCGACAGTTCGGAAGCCGGTAAGGATATTGCACTCAAGATCTTCGAGCTGGGCTTGAAGAAGTGTATCCAAGAGCCTGCCTACGTACTGTGCTATCTTGATTTTCTTGGCCATCTTAACGATGACAACAGTAAGTCCTGTTGAGTGTGTTGGGAGTCTGAAACGTGTCTGACGTGAGTTTAACCTGTACAGATATGCGATCTTTGTTTGAAAAGGTGTTGTCGGTCATGCCTTCGGAAGTATCACGTCCTATCTGGGACCGATACGTTGAGTTTGAGCACACGATGGTAGCCAGTGGTGGTGATCTTGCCACTGTAGCAAAAGTGGAAGCTCGGCGGGCTATGGCGTTCCCGGACGAGTCTTTCGTGGAGATGAAAGGTCTGCTGAGTATTGCCCACCGGTATTCATTCTTGGATTTGCGGCCACCAACGAGTTGTGATCAGAGTTTCCTCGACATGTATCGCTCCTCTCGAAGTGAATTGCCGGGAGTCAATCGTGATGAAGGTGACGATGGAGAAGGAATGGGAGGCTCAGCAGGATTCGGGCTTGAGATGGAAAGGTGCGTAAACTGCTCAATGTGGTCGTGTAGGTTACGTACTGACTTTAACGATGTGTACGCAGACAAATTCCTGGTCCTCCGCTGCCTGATTTCTTGAAGGAGTTTGCGGGGATGCTGCCGTTGAACCTGCCCTGGAACGGGCCGATAGCCGACGTGGAGCATATCTTCCGTGCGATGCTGCTGGTCGATTTCCCTCCTCGATCACGCATTGAGCAGATGGCGCAACAACAACAGCAGCAGATGCAGCAACAACTAGCGCTTCAGCATCAACAGCAGCTCCAACAACAAGCGGCAGAGGCCGAAAAGAACAGTGGGCTTGGCGACGACGACGGCGCCTCTGGAGTGGTAAGCAAGCGACCGGCTCACGATATCTTCCGCTCGCGTCAGAAGCAAAAACTGTCGAAACTCGGATAGGTTTTAGGTGTGACGAGTAGAAAACGCAGCAAATACTTCAAGGAGCACGTGTGAGCGCCCTCAGCCTCTGTGCGTCTTCTTTTGCTTTTTGAAGTTGACAACAATTGTCGGGAATCCCAGATCCTCGTTGTCCTGTAGTTCCACCGTGGGCTTTTTTCTTCCTGTTCGCGTTGACACTAGGCTAGGGTTTGTCGAAGCTGCAGCGCAAGACCTGACTGCAAAGCCATCGCTGCCATCGTCCTCTTCTTCGGACAGAGATTCCTCATCGAGTTCGGCTATCTCCTTGTCTTCTTGTAGATCGGTCTCATCGTCATCGTTGTCCATTGACAGAGCAGGACGCCAATCTCTGAGCAGCGCGGCCGTAAGTTCTTCACCGTGAAGAGTCCGGCATGCAGAGACGAGCTTGTCATCGCTCAGCATCACATCTTGATGCTCGTGGTCACTCCATACGCTCTCTGCAGCTCCCCAGGTAGTTCTTGCTGCGTCCAAAGCGATGTTATTCACCGCACTGTTCAATGACAACATAATCTCAGTTAAAGGAACCAAGACCATCACCTTAAAGGGTTAAGCGTACCTTTGATCTTGCAAGAAGTCCTGAAGCTCCTGGATGCCATGAGAAAAGAACGGCAGCAGTTTCGCCTCGGACTTTGAAATCCACCGGCGCGTATTGTACTTCTTTCCGTAAGCTTTAGCCAACAACTCGTTGGTCCACCCTCCCTTTCGACGAACGTTTCCATTGTGCTGCATTTTCAGCATGACACGCTCTTGGAAGGCAGTAGTCACTGTCTCCATCGTTGTAGCCATCGCATCGGCTGCACCGAATAGAACGCTCAAGTGTCTTAGCGCGCCCGTGTTATCAGTCACACTTTGCTCGACACGCCAGGCAATGCACTTCATTATGATGGACTTTGCAGTCCGTGTAGCGAACGTTCCTCCTCGCAGTACCAGCAAGTTCGTCTTCACTGGAAGGTTAAATCCACACATCTCCGCCCGCGCGAACACGCGTAGAGCACTTTCAAACACGTGCATCGCTCGACAGTACTCCAAGAAAGGGTTAAAGTCACTTAGACCTTGTGAACTCGCCTTTCTCGGCGTTGCTCGATACAACGAAGCAATAGCACATAGCAGAACCGCCTCGATGAAGTAGGACAACGACTCGTGTGTCAAGCTTTTTAGCACAATGTGCTCTCCGCCCACAACCACAGCGAGCTCATCCTGACGGCGCTTTTCTTCCAAGTCATCGTCATCGGAGTCATCGTCGCTCTCTTTGATTCTTGCTGCACGTTTCTTGGAACTCCTTTTATCCTGATGCGGTACAGCGGCATCGATGAGAACGCGCATTTCCTCGAGATATTGCGCCAGCAGGAACGACCCGGCTGATGCAGAGGCCGAATAAGCCCAGGACCCAACCACTAGGTACGCAATATGGCGCCATTTCAAAGCATTGCATCGATAATTCGCCAGAGAACAGACGCGACCATTACTCGGGGACACAACAGTGTTCGGCAGCGACCTTAATGGCAGACCGTTAAAGAACTTGGTAGTGTCGCTTTCAAATTGGTGTGGGGTCGGGAGTGACGGGAACGTTTGATGCAGCAGCGCTAGACACAGTTGACTAACCAAGGGACTTTTCCTGGTATTCAGCACAAGAGAGATCAGTACATCAGTGACCAAACACGCAAGCGTCGGGTCCTGAGAGCAAACAGACACGAAAGCAAGCACAGATCAGATCATAAGAAAGTGGGAAGCAGAAGCTTGGAGGCCTTACCGTCAGCTCTAGACACTGTCGTGCCAAGAATCGGAAGAATATTTCGTTGCATCCAAGTAGGTTAACGCAACGAGATGCATCATCGTCGGGACTGGCGCCAACAGCAAGAAGTTTCATCATTTGATCGGTCCAGCTGGAATCTCCCGCTGCAGTGGCAATACGACACTCTTCTAAGACGACAATGAAGGAGTCGTAGATGCACGCTAGGCAGTGCGCCATCAGATTTCTGGTAGCAGTATTGGCAGCTGCCGCATCAGTGGAGTCTGCCTCAAAATCACCTTCCATAACGCTTTCCGGTTGATCATATTCTTCGTTGCTAATTGCTCGACTCAATTCCGCTGCGCGGCGACATAACCATTTAACTGTCCGGCGTCCTTCACTCCTCGAGACTAGCAATCTGTGGTTCTCACCAGTACTTGATGACATGGCGCTCGAAGAAGTTATACCGACAGAATGTAAATGCCGACGAAACACTTGCAGCAACTCTAACTCGGAAGGCAGCGACAGCGGTGTATCAATACGTTGTTTCCACTGCCCTTCGAAAGCCAAGCAGACCACACGGAGGTCCAAGCCGAACAACGAGGCTCGCGGCAGTTCTCCTTGAACTCGCCGAAGTTGGCCATTCAGCAGTTGCTCGACAATTAAGCACTCCAGTAGCAGCCATTCTAGCTCATGTTTCCGCAATTCGGTACGTGAACTGGACGTGTCGTCAGAACGACCTAAACGGTCTTGAATATTGCACTTTTGATCAGCTAGTATCTGCTCCAGTTGATCGCGTAGCTTCAAACAGATACGCAATCGAGTCGCCATGCGCGAATACTGCGTTATGCATTCGTGTTTCGTCTTCGAACTTGCGATCATTAACGTGTACTGCTCAGCAACAAAGTTTGTTGACGCCACAGCGATGTCTAGGGCACAGACAAGATTCCAGATAACGTTGTTCAACGCTGCAGGCTCAACTGAGCCCCACGTTTCGGCATCCAGTCCCAGTGTATAAGCCGAGGGTAGCACAAACGCAGCATCCGCAACTTCGGTTTGTTCAGCTGGAGGCGCAAACTCCAGATAGCAATTGAAAAGTTCTCGAAGCAGGCAGATTTTCATCAGGTAATCTTGTTCCGTCAGTCTTCTTGTTGTTTCACGCTCGTGAGTGTCCATTGCAAAGAATGCAGGTGAGGGTGTTCCAAATCGCATTTTAACAACGAATTCAGTGGCGTCGACAGCCAGGGGAGCCGCCAACTCTTCCTTATCATCGTCAAATGCTAAGACAAAGTCGTTGCCATCTTGTGTTTGCTGAAGCACTTGTTCCCGTGGTGTCCACGTCAGTCCTTTCTTCCGAAATACCTGAGACATAGCTGTGGTTAGCAAAGCCCGCTCTTGTTCCAGAGCGGAGACTTCGCGTGTTCGGTTCATTTCGTCTCGTACAAAGCACATCACGTGCAACAATGTCTCGTCACGATTCGCAGAAGTCAACAGACGCAGCATCCAGTTTGCCAGTGATTTTCGGTCTCGAGACTCCACCACAACTTGGTTCTTCAGTAGGTGCCCGGTCAGGAAAACAGCCATGAGCTGCTTGACCTCAGCTGCACCGGATCGACCGCTTTGGAGTCTAATCGATTGCTGGCTGTGAGCCAAACCGGTGGATCCCGCTCGAGACACCAGTTGTTTCTGAATGGTAATCATGAGAAGAGAATAAATACCTCGCTCTTTCTTCGTCAGCAGCGCCATGGTCGAGCAAAGAAGGTCGAGTATATGTGACGGATATTTTCCATCAACCTCCGACTCCGTCGTAGCAGAAGCAACTCCATGTAGATGGTCAAGGAACAAGTGAGACGACGATGCCAGTGCGTCCGCATTCCTCCGCGCAAGTTCGGAAAAACGCAATGCAATTACTTCGGCCACTTTCCAGCACAGAGCGCTGCGAGTACGCTGCACAGAGTCGGAGTTACCGAGCAGTAGTAACTTCTTGGGGTGGCTGGCAATCGTCAGCAAAAGAATCAAAGCCTGTTGAAAAGCGTTAGCTAGACAAGCTCCTCTAACATGAATACTTGAGTAGCGCCTGTCGTACCTCTTCCTGTGCAGTGCTCTTGGTCTCAATGAGAACAACTAGAGAGTCCACAGAGCTGGCAATCAGATTCAAAGCCAACGCGGGTTGAGTCGATGCACGGAAGCAAACAGCGAGCAGGCAGCTGCAGAAACGGACGAAGGACGGGAGTAAATACGCCCACTCTGGTCTCACCAACATCGCAGCAGCTTCACGCATCATCCGGCCATGCAGCCTGCCGCTTTGTGCCACAGACGTCGTTGTCCTTACAGCCAGCTATAGTAGATCATAAATAACGCAGCGTAAGTGAGTACTTAATGAACATCAGACACCACCACCCTGGGTACCTCATTCTCCGCAGACTTCCCCATCACGAACGTCAACAGGACAATATCAAACGTGGTTAGTGGCTCGGCGTGTCTGATCAGGCGAAGAAGAGCAGTCAGTGCCACAGAGCCAGCAGTGGTGAAGCGTTCAATGACCTCCATTGTAAGTGACAGCGTCCCTGATTGGATACGATTACACTCGGTTCGTAAGCGTGCAAGCGCCTTAGGTGCCGACAGCTTTGTAACCATCGACAGTAGGCTCTGTACTACTGCAGGAATATCTTCCTCCACCGCCGCATCCAGTAGCGATTGTGTTGCCTCCACGACTGTGTTCTTCTCGCTATTATCCAGCGGCATCTCCGCCAATGACCCGAGCACAGGCACCAGTAGGGACCGGTCAGTAGCCAGCAGCTCCAAATACGCCTGTACTACCAATTGTACGCACTCCTTCGACTGGTACGTCAACTACATAGACAGCAAACTGTCAAAATGGTGACAGAACTCCATGATCTCTTACGATATCAAGCCCAAACCTTAGGTAAATGGTGGATTAGCAGTACGTGATGGTCACAGAACAGCAGAAGCGACAGAATTTCCTCTGTTAGCTCGCGTGTGGGAGCCACATAATTGCCCAAAAGGTGCAGTAGAGCATTCACATCGTCGCTCGAGTCATCAGCGCCGCTACGCAGCCGCTCCAGCACCAGATGCGCCGTCTCCACACGCTGTAGACTGCTCTCCGTGCGAAGTAGCCGTCGACACATATCCAGCGCCTGCGCCACGTCCCCATCGACCACCAAGTCGCGATGCACCTCCGCGGACGTCATCTAATGGTGAAAATTGAGGTTGGGATTGTGATTTTTAGGGTAGATTTTGGCGCGGTGTTTGTTTCAATTCAAATTTGATTTTTCGCGCGTCAATTCAGATTCTAAATTGGCGACGCGTTTCAAAACCATCTCAAACCTATTTTTGCCCATCAGCCTCACTTGGCTCACTTGGCTCACCTCGGACGGAGTTGCCGACACCGGTGCTAACGTCTGTCACTTCGCAATCGCCAAGGCTCAGCTCCAGTCCGACAGGTCGCAGCCAACTGCCCAAATGGCACAGGAGACGGAGCCTGTGGCTGCTCCTGCAGCGACACCGGAGTCGCCGAGCTCCAAGCGCCGCAACCGCAAGAAAGGCAAGCGCGGCTCCACTGGAGATGACGACGGTGACGAGCACGATACTGCAGCTTCAGTGTCGCCCATGGGCGACGTGGCCACCGGCGACCTCATCTCGTTACCGTCGCCTGTATCCGCAGTGACGTCCAGCACCGACGTGTTCGCGACTCTAGACGTGCAGCAGGCGATGGACGACCTGACATTGACTCAACCGACACCGGTGGTCGTTGAAACGAAGGTGAAGGAGGATGGGCTGCTCAAGCTGCCGGTTTTCCCGTCCAGTGGGCGTATACCACGGACGCCACCATCGTCGCCTGAGCACTTCCTGGTGCATTCGCCTGAGAAGGAGCAGTTCAGAGTGGCTCCCATGTCTCCAGATGTCCACCAGCTGATGCCGACAGTCGAGACTTCAACGAACGGCGAAGTGACAAGTGCTCAGTTTACTGACGAACTACTCGAAATGGAACAGGCTGCCACTGCAGAGCAAGAGGAAGAAGAAGAGGCAACGCGACTTAATGGGGCAACGTCTTGGGTAACAGTTGAAGATGTTTCAACTACTGAGATGGAGGAAGGTGAGCTGGTTCTAGATGGTGCTGTAGAGCAGGAGACTGCGGCACTGAGTAGCACTCTTGCGGACATGAGTCTCACCAACGGGAGTGAGCTAGACAGCGAATTGACTGAACCTGAAGTGCCAGTCGAAAAACCAGTCGACGTAAGAGTAACGGAGGTAGTTGCAGAGCAACAACAGTTGCCTGTTCCAGATGATAACGTGGAGGTCTCAACAGCTCATGCCAATTCAATTTCATCTGCGTCAACTATGCAGACCTCAGTTGATGCCCCCTTCCCTGAGACAGAAACAATTGCAGCAGAACCAACAAGTTTAATGGAGAACACAAAGGTGGCAGCTCCAGCTGTACTCGAGACTCCAGTTGCAACGGAGCCCGCTCCAAATGCAGCACCGACGCCTGCTGCGCCAGCTCCTTCAAAGAGTCCAGAGACATCCCAAGCGATATTTGCAGTGCCTGTCAAAACTGACGAGACGAAGACGTTGCAAGAACCGTCTTCCCGTCGTAACAAAAGAAAGGGGGATTCTCCAGAGCCAAAGTTGAACACTTCTCCATCTGCGACGTCAAGAATCTTTACAACTGGCCGCATGGACAAACCTGCTTCGTCTTCAATACCCGGTGAAAGTGCTGGCAGCTCAAAGCCGATGATAGGGAAACGCTCCATTCCGGAACCGCAGTCACGCCCCGGCAAACGGAAGGGGGACGGGTCCGATGTCAAGCCTCCGCCTGCTCCATCCGTAGCAGAAATGCGCCCCAAGCGTGTGGTAGCGCGGCCGAACTCGACGTCCACGGTAAATAAAGCGACAAGTGTCCCCGAAGCCAAATCGCAGCCAACGCGCTCTGCATTTCACGATAAAAAGGACTCCATGATGAATCCGACAGCGAGTAGTATGGCGCGGGCAACCGCAGCGGAAGCCCGCAAGACTTTGTTGAAGAGTGCTGCGGCGAAAAAGACCCCGGCGCGCAAGCCGATGAGGACCAAGGTTGGAGTAAAGTCGGCAGCTCATGTGTCTACTGCCCCACCAGCTCCGATCAAGACTGTCGTTGCTCCTCCAGCTCCAGTTACGATTGATGACTCTGATGACAGCGCTCGCAACGTGAAGCGCCGACTTAACGCCATGGACGCTGAAGCTGCGAGCAATCGCTTGTATGATAATGCCAAGGAGGCCAAGGCTCGGAAAGAAGCTCGACGTGCTGAGTTGCAGGAGAACTACTCGTTTGCCCCTCAAGTCAATACCATCAAGCGACGCGCAAATCCTGGGGAAGCCGAGGAGCCGAGCCAAGATCGTTTTAGTAGGTTGCATGCCCAAGCCAAGGAGCTGCTTGAGAGAAAACGCGAGCTTCAGCAGCAACATGAACGGGACGGGTGCACTTTTGCTCCTTCAATCTCGGCACGAGCCAAACGTTTGGCTCAGCCCAGCTCGGGTCCGCGGTACGAGAATCTTTATAAGCACGCCCAAGAGATGAAACAGAAACGCGAAGATAAGATCTTAGAAAGGGTCAAAACCACCGAGGAGCAATGTCCATTCAAGCCCAAGATGATCGCTGCCAGGTCGCTGAAGGCGCCTCCGAAGAACAAGCCTCTCTACGACTCGGAACGCGAAAAGCAAAAGCGACTAGCACTTGATCAGAAGAAGATTGACGCTGAGATGAGCCAGTGCACATTCAAGCCAAAGGTGTCTGCAAAGCGCTTGAAGTCGAAGGCTGAGACCCCCACGGATGCTACCACCGATGCAGCAGTGGATGCTAACCCCTACAATCGTCTCTATCAAGGAAGCATTAACCGGACGGAGCGATTGCAAAAACTTCGTCAGGAGCGCGACGAAGAAGAAAAGACACACACACCGTTCCAGCCCAAAATCACCGCGAGATCGCGAACTCTCAAGGATAAAGCGAAGACAAAAGAGCCTTTTCACAAGCGGCTTTACAATAAGGACTACCTGAAGAAGCTGGATGCTGAACGGGAGCAACGCCGTCTTGAAGAGGAACAGCAGTTCTCGTTTAAGGTAAGACGGCTGGTCTGATCATGCAGATATTCTTTCTTAATGTGCTTGTTGTGCGGCGTGGTGCAGCCTGAGATTAACGAACCTCCTGAAGAGATCAAGGTCAAAGTTAATGAGCGAGCTAGTCCAGAGAAGAGTATTTTCGAGGTTCGTCATATCTAAATTTACGTGTGTACACAACTGTTGTTGTGTTGGCTTACCTCTTTCGTCTACGTTTTTGTATTGTCTGCAGCGCCTGTACGACGAGAAGGATAAAATGAAGGAGAAGATTGAAATGGGTGCAGAGCTGAAGCTCCAGAAGGAGATGGCAGAGTGCACATTCCGACCTCAGATCGAGTTAGATGCCCTCCCGTCTAATGGAGAACCGGCTCCTCCCGTCTGGGAAAGACTTCTGAGCTACGATAAGGCTCAAGTCATTGAGGAACGTGAAAAGCTGAAGGAGCAGTTAGAGATGCAGGAATGCACGTTCAAACCGGAGGTCAAGTCCACTGATGCGATCACGATGAAGACGAGCCCGTCGCACAACGTCTTTGACCGACTGGCTGGCAACGGCAGTTCGCCCTTGGACCCGACACGGGCCGCTTTTATCACGAGACGCCCAGGCAACTCCCCAGAGCGACAGAGCCCTGACGTAAGTGTCGAAACCGAGGATTCAAGTTCCAAAAATTCTGGCATCATGACACTTTAACTGCAGAGCAAAGGTGTAGTAGCTGGACAAATTATTAAGTTAACGAAATTCTCTCAGTCAACCGAAAGAAAAAAACCTGAGCAGAACGCGCTCGATTAGTCAACCTTCCAGTGTCACTAAGCCAGCGATCAAGAGATTCACGTCATTTTCCGGTCCTAAATCTGCAGCTTCGTCACCGATAGCAGATGGCCAATTTACAATTCCTGAACAAGATGCTCAGACCGTCACCGAAAACTACCAGACGTGGTCGGCGAAGCTGAATGCGAATTTGCGTTTCCTGAGGGAAGGAAGCTCTGAAAAGTATGCTTTAAGTTTGAAGTGATATTTTTTTTTTATATATATCACTTCAAACTTAAAGCATACTTTTCATTCTGATGAACAGAATCAATTTAAACTTACAACGGTATGCCTTAACCCCTTGAGCCCGAGAGCCACGTTACGTTCCTTTTCTTAACGTGGACCATACACGTTAAGGAAATTTATACTTGTGTTTTGTAAATGCTCTTACAAAGGTCAAGTCAACGCGGGGTAGGTGATGTATCCAAGCTTCCCGCTGGAAGTGCATAGATGAGTCGCGCAGAAAGGACGCCAGTATAAGAAGTTAGAGGAGATAGACACGCGTGCCAAATCTCATATAAGTAATAGCAGGGAAATGATCGACACCACTCAAACGGTTTCATTTGAAGATTTGGCGGACAAGACTCAAGCCACAGTCATGGCATTCCGCGCTCGCTGGTGCGAGCTGAATAAAGCAGGATGGACCTCGAAGAGACCAACCGGTCTCTCGGTCGACTTCACGTACCTGAAGCCGGGGAAGAGCAAGAAGGACAAGCGCGGTGTCGACTTTTTCGCTGGAGAAAACGAGTTGATGCTCTACTTGGACGCGATGGATCGGGGTAGGACTACCTGTGCTCTTCTACTTGTTTGCTTTGCATTGACACGTTTTAATGTCGTAGCGGAGCTTACAGCAGCGTCCGAAGCCTCCCAGCAAAGTGAGTCGTCACAAAATCCAACTCCAGCTAAAGGTACGTGAGGCAGCTTGTATATACACGTTATCTTGACGTTAATCATGTCTTTTTGCGTTAGCTTGTATCGCTCCAGCACATGACACTGAAGAGCTACAGGAGAGTCCAGTAACGCCAAGGCGTGGAAGCCCGCGTCCTATCGCTGCGACTGCTCAAAGTGGTGACGTAACTTGGGCAGTGTCTCCCCACTCTATGGCGTGTGAAGAAACAGCTTCTGACGAAGAGGAAACTCTGACAGGCGAGTGTACCTGTCGTGTATAAACATGTTAGCAGATTGTCTAATCGTGTATGTCTCCACTATCCTGTAGGCCGGCGCAATCTCAACAATGCATTTGACGAAGCTGAAGATGGTGGGGTCTTGTCAGAAGACAGCGATAGTCGACATGATCAATCGGATACTGGAGAGAGCAGTGGCATCAATGTGGTAGATCCATTACGTGTTGAAGGTACTTATATGTTGTATCATGTACATACACGATAATACTATTCACTAACATGTATCTTGTGTTTGAAGCTACACCAAACGGCAACCAAGTTGGCCATGCCCAACTTGGATTTGCTGTACTTGAGTCCGATGCTGAAAACGATGACGGAGAAGACGACAAGTCGTCAGAGGATGTCCTTGACGATCTGGACGTGGAGCTTCCTGTCCCCCCTGAGCGAAAGTTTGACGATGACTTCATATCGGCGGTTGGTGGTTTGGCAAACATATCTGCCGGAACAGTACCAGGTGATTTTCTGAGAGAGATGTCGGCAACGGGCTGGTCGAATCAAGTGACGCACACGCCGTACGACCACCTGATGGAGCCATACGAAACACGACCGGCAGGTTCAATGCAAGAGGACTATCCGAATGTATTCAGCGGTCAGTCTGGCCCTACCGCTAAGGCTTTACAAGCTGCCGCAACACCTTCTGGAGCGTTCTTTTATTTCGCCCAGCCGGAGCTATGGGAATCAATTGCTGCTGAGTCGAATTACTACTTCGAAAAGAAACTTGACGAACGGGTGAAGGGACAGCGTGCAAAACAAATGGCGCGTGAGCGGAAACACCCCGAGTTCAAGAGCAAGTCGCAAGAGCGTATCAGAGAAGACGTGCTGAAAGCGGCGCCCATCACCGCTAGAGATCTGTGTGTATTTATCGGCCTCTTGATCGCTCGATCAATAACCCCAAACAAGGAAAAAATGGCAAACCACTGGAAAACGACCGATGAAGGGGCTATTCCCCGCGGTTGCTTCGGGCAATTCATGACTCGCGATCGCTTCATGCATGTGTCGCGTAACCTTCACTTAAGCAGTAACAGCGATGAGCGTGCCTTCACTGATCGTGCTTGAAAGTTACAACCGGTGATAATAGCACTACAAGCGCGTTTTGCTGCTGGCTACATTGCATCTGCCATCATGGCCTTTGACGAAGCGATGCAACCCTCGAGATCTACTTTCAGCCGTATGCGTGTCTTCATGAAGGACAAGCCGCACAAGTGGGGCACTAAATTATTTATGCTCTGCTGTGCGAAGTCGGCATATTGCATCCGGTAAGTATTGGGCGTGTCTAAAGACACGTCCATATTTTTTTTGGCTCCGAAGTTCTCTTATCATGTATGGTCCTAGCTGACATTAGCTCTATGTTGTATGTAACAGTTTTGAAGTCTATTGTGGTAAGAAGGATAGAGCAGGAGTCACCAGCTCAACTGACGAGATGACAGGGCCAGCTGCTGTGGGTCGGAACCTCCGCAACGTTTTTGGACCGAAACCACCTTCAGATGGAACTATGCGAGTCGTTGTCATGGACAACTATTACTCGTCTGTGGCGCTGTCAATGGAGTTACTGATGATGGGCTTCTATTCTATTGGAACGGTGCGCTCCGACCGACTGGGGCTCAGTGCAGAGCTCTTCCCGAAGAAGAAAATGCATGAGACTAAGTCTCCTAAAATACCCAAGAATCGACCTGCAAACATTGAACGAGGGACGCTCATCACATCAGATGCGCTCCACGTTCCGAACATGAGATGTTTGCGGTGGTGGGATACTCGGGCGGTGCATATGCTAAGCACGGGTGGTAGCGTGAAAATGGACCGCATCGTACGTCGCGACAAGCTGACTGGAGAACAACAAGAAGTTGTGTGCCCTCGTGTTGTCAAAGATTATCAAACGTTCATGGGGGGCGTCGACGTGCATGACCAACTAAGGCTACAAAGGTTAAGTGATATTATCGTGTCTATACAACCTACCTTAGCATCTAATCATGCATGTTCACCTTACAGATACTCGCTGCAGCTTTGCATCAAATTCAAGAAGTACTACAAGTCTCTCTTTCTTGGTCTTATTGACCTCGTAATTATCAGCGCATACATCGTGTACAACGCTGCTCGTGCTACTGCAAACCTTCCAAAGGTGAACCACGTCACATTTCTGAAGAGGTTGCACTTGAAGTTGTGCCAGCTGCGTGAGGAGGACTGGGATAGTCTACGCAGCAACGAATGCTTCCAAGCGACACCTTCTAGAAGTGGCGATGCTACTGGCCGACGACAACCCGCCCATCGACCGCAGCTAAATGACGAGTGGCGTCCTGGCAACAACAATAAGGGGAGGAAGCGACGAACTCGTGCGTGCAAAGTTTGCTCGATGCTCAAAGGCACTGACGGAGCTCGCGGTGGCGACTCATCCGTGTACTGCAGTAAGTGCAAGCTTCCAAACTCGTCGAAGAAACCTCTGGCCTGGCGTGTTTTTCTCTGTGAGAAAGCACGACATGTAGTGAATGGGAAGGCGATGAGCCGCTTTGACATTTGGCACAGTGCGTGGCGAAATGGGACGTTGGCACCTGCACCTACTGGGGCAAAAAAGCGAGCGATTCGCGCGCGTGCGCCGGCGAAGAAGCACTCCAGTGAGGAGAGTGCTGGAGAAGGAGTTCAGGGGGATGATTCAGAAGGAGCCGAGGGCAGCGATGAACCAAATGATGAGTCCAATACGAGTCCCAGCCGTTCCAAGCGGCCCCGTCTTCCTGCCAGCCCTGTGATGACTGCCTGAGTAGCTGATACCGTCCGTCTATCTTGATCTAGTTTCACTATTGATAATGCCGCGCAAATCAACCTTGTTGCAGCTGTTGTTAGTGCTAGTGTTATGCACTTCTCTACACGATAGAAGTACAAACGTGTATTGTTGACCAATTCAATAATGTACATACCGTATTTGAGATCTCCTACTTCAGAGTGATCTCCTAATTCAGACTTCCCTCCAACCAATCACATATCGAGAATGGAACAGCGCACAAGTCTAGATCTCCTAATTTAGAGTACAAAAAACATGCTAAACTGTACCTATCCACCAGCTCATTGCCAGAAATTTGCAATGGCGCGCACTCCCCTCACGCTCGGCCAACGGAAAGGGAGAACCCGTATTTCTGGCACTGGCAAGCCTCCCAAGAAGTTCAAGCGCGTTGCCATTTCATACGCCTACAAGCTTTCGGTTGTGGAGTGAACCTGATTGGGAGCTGCTACGACGGTTGCTGGAAGAAGTGCCCGTAGTGCGCCATGCTGTGGATACACGTCACGACATAGAAAACTTCGTAGTTCCCGAAGAAGAACTTGATAACTAAATTGTTTTGTTTAAATAATACGTGATAGAGATGCGTCGGTACGTGTACAGATCTTGTGCATTTTGCAACAATACAACTTCAAAAATATTGGGTCTGAAGTAGGAGATCTCAAATACGGTACACGATAGCGAGTGGTGCCTCCTCTGGTGAATAGGCTTAGCTTGCGCCTATCCACTATACACGATAGCGAAGTGTATATAAATTTGTATCGAAACCCTTACCGTTAAATCAGCTAGGGTTTAAGGAGATGGGGGGCCCAAACACCCTTCGGGTTCAAAGGGTTAGAGTTCAATCTTGTTGTAAGTGCTTGGTACGACTTCTATCTTGACGCAGTCGATGTCGCACCCTTTGTGCCGATGACCAACGGACCCTGGTTGTGATAGTGTTCTGGATCATATACCCGCTCAAGAGCTTGAATCAAATGAACGATTTCGTCGACCCAAGCGTCGAGACATCGACGATCTAAAAAACTCGCCAGACGACTTTGGTTCCCTGTGAACTCCGCTCGAGGATTGCATTGTCCAAAATTGACCTGCATCAGCCACGTGACGCTACATGAACCTTCCCAAGGAGTTGGGGTAATCAGCCAGCCACCGAGAATGCAATCCACGCGGGAGCCGAGGTTTGACTTGATTACTCGAGGATCATCCCAGGCTGCTGCATCGGCTGGTATCATAACGATAGCGATAGTGCCGCTCTCGTCCACTCTGTACGAATATACCAACAATCTACAGTTAATACAAAGAACCTGATCAAACGCTTAAGAAAAGAAAAAAATGTCGAACCTCCACGTCTTCCGTGAGATCATTTGAAGCTTGTCGCGACCCCAACAGCTATCTTTGAAGACTGTCCGAACTGTCCTCGTGTGTTCACTCTCGCGACTAAGCACCTCTTCGCTTTCAACAAACGGAGCCCACGACAGCCCCGGCATGTCATCGTCAACACTTTGATTTATCACCATGTCAAAGACAGCACGAGCTGGGAAGTGGCAAGTCGTGACGCGCTTGATCATGTGGAATCCGTCGGCTACTTTCTCGAAAACTGTGTCACACGGTTCCGGTTTGCGGCTCACCGTCCATCCACTGAATTGGCGAGCATGTTTCTTGAGCTCGTAGAGTGCAGCCGTGAGGCTCCTGTCCTTTGATGGAGCTGCGGCTGCAAGGGCTGGCGGGAGATTGAGGAATAAACGCAGCAAATACCATTGAGCAATTGTCCCTTGAGCTTCACCTCCTAGAACCATCTTCTCAAGCGCGCAGTGAAGAAATTCCTCGAGACCACTTCTACGTCGGTGCAGAAACCCATCGGTTAGTGTGTTTTGACGTCGTAGAGTGCAGTATGTTTTAGGTGGAAACAAATTCCATAGTCCAGATGAAGGGAACATCGCACACACGTGCAGTGCGAACACGTAAAACTCCCGAAATCGTCGCTCGACAATGATCTCAGAAGTTGTAAGTGAAGGTATACGCGTTGTAAGCGAGTAAAAAGCGACTTGGTCGGGGGTGATACGCACGTCATGCACATTGCACTGAAGTAAGGCGCTGTGTACTGAATCCCCGATACTCCAGCGACGCGGCTGATCCACACTTGAAAGCTTTGTTGTTGGAGGTGTGAATGTTACAGACGAGAGCAGTGGAGCTCGCGTTTCGGAGACAGAGCGCTGCAATTCAAGAACATCCTTGTGCGTATCGGCGCTTACCGCGACGGAGCTTGCGTGGTCGGTACGGGCTGGAGCTTTCGTGGGCTTATCAATTGGAATATTTGCTTTGGCAATGGTTTTGGCTGGGGAAGTGTCCAACACTGCACCGATGAACGAGCTCGCTTTGGCAGCAGTTTTTAGAAGCACGATCTTGGTCGGGGATGGCGGGGCAGTTGAGCAGTCATGCTCCTCACTTTCCTCGACTGATAACTGTGCACGGCAGTCTCGACAGATAACAGTTGGACCCACCTGTGACACCTGGTCGCTCGTCGGCAAGCCGGCCTCCATTTCAAGGAATTGACGAGTACGTCACAGGGACGCTAAACTCTTCCAATGAGAAACCACAAATAGGATCATTTGAGCAAGTACTCGAAGCGGCGCTTTTTTTCTTTCAACAAAAGCAACATCAACGGAAAAATATCTGTCCTCTTTTTCATAATTTAGATGTGGGTCGTCGTACTGCATAGTTTTGACGAGAAGCTGGGAGCATTTCTCTTCTGCTTACTCGAGCGGTTGTTGCCTTTCTTTTGGGTTGTTCCGATTGTTTGTCAAACGATGTGGTTATACCTTTCGATGATCTTCCTGTAGACGAGGCCTTTTTCGAGCCACGACGAGTACTCTTTACACTGTCAGTAGACGAAGGAAGTAGCGTCGATCCCATCAGTAGTGCGGTGGCTGCTGATGGAGGGTCTTTTGGCGCTCGAGAAGGTAGCGTTCGTGCAGGAGGATGCGCTTTCAATCTGCGGGGATTCGCCACATTATTCGGGATAGTTGGTCGCCCAGTGAGACTTCGTACGCTTGGCGTGTTATGATTACTATTCGAGATTGCGTGCCACACTTGAGGCCGTCGTGGCTGTTGAAAAATCTTAGCGGGTTCGTGAGCAGATCCGCTACGGGTCAAACTCACGCGCGCTTTTGAGTTTTCGGTCTTACGATCGGTTGAACTACTCGACGTCTCTAGTCCACGAGACGTTCGAGTGCTTCGTCCTCGATTAGTGCTCTTACTGACAGTCACTCCCACGCGTGCCTGTGGGGGCTGAGGTCGACATCTGGCTGTTGCAGAGTTTCGAGTGGGTAGATTCGGAACTACATTGCGTGAGGCTTTTGTGCCAAAGCGAAATGTCAAAGATGCCTGTGCCGCCCCGCGATTTCGAGCAATAAAATCTTCAATCAATTCGACACCTTCCTCATCATCACGCTGGGTCAGAAAAGTTGAGCCTCCAATTTTTCGAACTCCGCCACGTTTGGTAAGTTCCGATCCGCTTTAGAGCTTTTTCTTCAGCGCTTCCTTACGAGCAACCAGCGAGTGAGATCCCAATGCCGTTTTACTTTTCCTTTTGCCGGTTGCAGGACGACGAGTATGTATGGAAGAATTTACAGTCGATCGTCGCTTATGAAGGAGAGGGTCTTGCTGCTTGACACTCATTCGTTTTGATGTCGCGGGGGTTGGCACTGGTATTTCGCAGTCGCCAATATGTGTGCCAAGTCCACTTAGAAGGCTTCCTGGAGGCTTTGCTTTCTTTGAGGTAGAGCTGCGTCTGCAGCTGACAGCTATAGCGGCAGAGATTGGACTCAACGGCGCTCGAGCAGTCCTTCGCTTTTCTCGCTGTTTTGGTGAGAGAGCTAGCAGCGTTGAAGAGTGCCCAGAAATTGGATTCGCTAATCGGTCAATGGTTTCACGTCGCGCTTTTCGCACTAATGGTGCGGTACCGTACGTGCTCTTCATATGCGCGAGGCGGGAGGCTGCACCGTCGACTCTGGGTTTTTTCAGAGGTTCGTCCAAAATAACGTCATTTCTCGGCTTAATTCCACCAGGTTGCTTTTTCTCGCGGTCTCGAGCTTTCGAGTTCGTGCTTGTTGATATTGGAGCTGTTGTTGTACCGAGATAGAAGCTGAGAATATCGGGGCGTGGTGTGTGCAGGACAGCTTTTAAATCTAACTTTTCCAGGAATCGAAGCGCGTCTTGCTCAAGTCGGTCGCTGTTGTTGGATCTCTGACTGTTGTTTGTTAAATTGCTGTTAAATCCTCGAGCATGAGTCATTACCTGGGCTTTTCTTGGGTTCGTCTTATTGCTTCTTCCTTCGGTTGATCTATCGTCAAGGCACCAATCATCTTCCTCGCTCATTTGTTGCAGCTCGGAACCTCGCTGAGACGATCTCCTCGAGCCATTATTTTCATCTTCGTCGTCATCATCGGGGCGAGCATTTATCAACTCTTCAAGTTTTAGACGAGGGATATATGGAGTGGATAGCCCAGATTGTGGCGACGAAGCTTTCACAGGAACGAAGTGCTGTCTTGGATTAGTCGATGACGGTACTCTTCGCGTGTCAGGCTTCTGCGGAATGAAAGCTGGTGCTTTGTATCCCACAGAAGCTTCACTCTCTCCAGCAAAGAGGTCACGGAATAATTCTTCATCTTCTTCTTTCGCCCGAGCTGAATGAGGTCCCAAGGCGGATGTGGGTGAGCTCTTGGCACGATTGACAGTGCGAGTGGAGAACTCCGAAAACGAATCCACCAAATAGCTTGAGCCAACCGCTCGCACAGGCGCTGGCGACGACAATGGCAGTGAAGCCAACAAGCTGCCTGTCATTTGCCCGAGCTAGCAACCAAGTCGACCAAAGACCTCGGACTCCCTCCACGAGTCAGCTTTATTTTTGCCCGTCTCGCTATTTATTCCACGTCCTTGTCAGTAAAAATCACCCGCATCAACGGTCACTATGAGCAAGATACGCTCAGTCGTGAAGTAGTTTACGACGGCATGGCACCTCCTCCGCCGCCGCCGAGAGCCCCGCCGCCGCCTAGACCGAAAGCGCCCCCTCCTTCACAAGCCGAAACTAATCCCGATGCAGTCCCAGCACAGCGACACGTTCCACCCCCACCGAGGGGAACGCCACCCGCTCCTAGAAATGTACCAGGTCCACCAAGCGTCCCACGAGGAGCTCCACCTGGACCCCCGAAGGGTCCACCGCCAACAGGTCCACCTGGACCACCGAAAGGGCCACCGCCAACAGGTCCACACGGACAACCAAGTGTACCGAGAGGTGCTCCACCTGGGCCACCGAAGGATCCTCCACCGCAGCCGCCTAAAGCTGTACCTCCCCCGCTTCCAACTCAAAACGAGCCCGAAAAGGACGTCGCCGCTGAAGCTGCTGCCAGTCTTGCCGCCATCCAGAAGCTTTTGCGTCGTGGACGCCTCAGCTTTACGTTGCTAGAAGCACGCGAAATTCGACGCAAAGGCGGACCGGTAGACGCAAAACGATTCAGCGCCGACGCATACGTGAAGATTGCAGTGGGCACAACCCCCTTGTCTGCTCAGGAAAAGCGCAGCAAGACGCTTAAGAAGAGCGGAACACCGGTCATTTTCCACGAAGAGATCGTATCATTCGACCTCACAGACCCCGTGGCGCTCGTGACCGACGGAGATCTACCGATCAAGATCGAGGTCTTTGACGAGAACTTGCTCTCCGATGAGATGCTAGGAGAAGTCAAATTCTCGGCTCTGCGCTTCTTTGACGGTCAGCCACATCGAGAGGTTTTCTCCCTTTCGTTGTCGGCGACGCCAGGCGCTCCATGTGGTGAGATTGAGATCGAGATCAAGCTGGAAGAGGCCTTAGTTGGAATGCTGTCCATCGTACTGATGGAAGGGCGAAACCTTAAGAGCATGGAGCTCATTGGGAAGCAAGATCCGTACTGTCAGCTCTCCATTGGCAAATTCACCAAGCGTGGCAAAACCATCGAGCGTGGAGGACGCAATCCGTACTTTGGGGAGGAAGAGCTGCTCTTTTGGTTCGGGGACGATCTCTGGACACAGCAAATGGCATTGCGCGTGTTCGACGAAGATATCGGCAACGACGACCTTATTGGTGACGCGAAGTTCTCTGTATTACACTTCATGGCTCATCGCGGCGCACAAGAGCACGCGATACCGTTGCGAAATAAAGGGAGCCCAGCCGGCGAAGTCTTAATGCGAATCGAGTTCTTCCCTGCAGGTATACTCACCGTGACCTGCCATGCTGCCAGACAGCTACGCAGTGTAGACGCCATTGGACGGCAAGATCCATACGTCAAGCTCACTCTGGACGGCCGAGCGGCGCAAATGGTTAGAAAGACCAAGACCGACACGGACGGTGGTAGTGAGCCTGAATGGGAGGGTGAGATCTCCTGCTTCGATGTAGTTGACCAGTATAATTTGCAAGTGGAGGTCTGGGACGAAGATTCTGTCGGGGACGACGACCTCATTGGCGCAGCTTCACTTTCACTGCTGCCAATCTTCCGCTATGGTTATGCCGACGATTGGCTCAAGCTCTGGGTTAAAGGCCGATTCGGGAACAAAGACCCTGCTGGTATGTTGCGTCTTGAGATGAGCTTTCAAGGTCCTGCAGGTGTGGCTTACCCACAGCACCAGGCCGGCATGGATCGCTTCACTGAGAAGGAACGTCGTACAAAGGAGACAGCCGGGATGATCCCATCGGCGTCTGAACCTGATGGGGGACAGGATGCGGCAATAGCTGCCAAGGCCCACGCACTCACCAGACCAGCGAAACGAGTCGTCGACAATACCAGCGAGTTTTCAGAAGAAGAACTGCTGGGTGCATTCCGATTCCTCGATCTCGACAAAAATTCCTTCATTGGTGCCGCAGAACTTCGTCATCTATTGATCTGCATGGGCGAGCTCATCACCGATGCTGAAGTGGACGAAATGGTGCGGCTTTGCGATACGGACGGCGACGGACAGGTGAGTTTCGACGAGTTCCGACGAATGGCGATACATCCCGACCCCGGTGGACCAGAGTTTGCTTTGGCGATGACAAAGGACGAGCCTGAGGAACCCGTACCGGTAACTGGTCCAGATCTTACCGTTGAAGACAAACAGCGACAGCTGGAGATCAAGCAGGAGAAGTCAAAGCTCATGCGGCGGTTCGTCCAGGACACTCATCCGAGCCTCGAAATGCTAGAGCGTGTGGCCAAAAAGTTCCGTCAGATGCAGCACGACGTTCTGGACTTTGAGGACTTCTGCTCACTGTTCGAGGTGGAACCCACGGGCGAGTATCGGCGTCTTTTTGCGCTGTTTACGCCAGACAATCAAAGCGACTCCGGTGCCGACTTGCGCGAGATACTTCTCGCTGCAGTGAACTTTGTCAGCGGCGTCGACCGTACGCAGCGTGTACGCTTCTGCTTTGAAATCTTCGACGATGATCACAATGGTTTCATCACCGAAGACGAGCTTGTGAACATCCTGCGCGCGAATTATCTCGCATCGACAGATGATCAAGTGCGCAAAAAAGCTCAAACGATTCTGCGCCAAGCTGACGATGACGGAGACGGCCGAGTAAGCTTAAACGAGTTCCACGCCATCTCGCGCAAGTTTCCGAATCTCCTTTTCCCACCTCACGACGCAGGTGGTAATAGCAACAAGTAATGGAGAGAAAGATGTGTGCTCTTCGGCACTGTACACCTTGACCCGGACACTATAATTATCCGAGAAACGCTGGTTTTGATGATAAGTACTACAGCTTTCGATTGTTTCTAGAGCTCGAGGGACAGCTCCCACCCTCTTCGTAGAAAAAATGCGCTCTCCTCCCCTCGACGAGCCTGTCAATTTGGCGCAGCAACGCAATCCTCTCCCGGGCAATTACAGTAATGGTGCCACCCATCATTCTAGTGTAGGAGAGGTCGGTAAGTCTCCACTTGAGGACATGCTCTCTCATCTAATACTCGATCCGTGATGGTCATCGTTCGTGTAGACAAAACACTTGATGGAGCGACTGAATACTGCGCAAGTCAAAGTGAAGAGACTCCAACGTCTTGAAGCCGCACTTGTCGATTTCTTCATGGAGGTAATGGATCGGAGCGATAACAACGGGACTGATGGCGCTGCTCGGTTCAACGACAGCGAATCCTCTTTTGCACGGGGCAAACGCAAAGAACAATTTCTCAAGAAGGCCGAGGGTGACCCTATCTCGCTGCTGAACGCGTTACGAACCCATTTGCGCTTGCGGTTTGCAGAGCAGGAAGCTCGACAGACTGCGACTGCGCGTCAAGTTCACGCAGAAGACTTGCTCAACCAGCAGAGGGAGCAGCGCACTCGCGACCAACTTCAACAGCTTGAACTTACGTGTAGACAGTTAAAAGAACAGCGGGACTCCTTGATATGTCAGCTGAACCAACGTGAAATTGATCAGACACAAACGCGACGCCAACACCAAAACTTACTTGAGAAGATGAATGCTCAAGTCCAGGACGGAAGATCTCGAGAACAGGAGGCAAAGCTGCTTGTAGCTAAACAGCAGCAAGAAATCGCAACACTCAAGGAAGCTCGAGAAGCACTGAGCCACCAAAAGACTCTTGAAAGAACCCGAACAACGACGGCAGGTCTCCCAGACGTGAACAGTAGCCATTCAACTACCACTACAGCTCCGTCAGGCACCGTGACGTCGCCAACTCACATGAAAGGGGATTTCTTCGGAACGCCAGCCGAGAATCAAACGCTACGACGTGCGCTTCGCAAATACGAAGTCAAAATGGCTCAAACGGAGGCTGCTAACGAAGAGCGCAAGCGCGAAGTCCAGCGGTTGCAGCAACAGCTCACTGGCATGCGTCAAAGCACGCAATTGCAAACGTACTCACGCCTCGAAAAAGAGTCGCGCCGTCTGCGCGAACTGTCGGACGACCTCAAGAAGCGACTTGCGGAGAGCGAAGCTGACGCGTTGCGCACGAAAGGAGCCCTTAAAGAACGCGAGATCCAAGTGCAGAGGATGAAGGACGAATACGCAAGGCTGTTTAGCGCCCTTCAGAAGCAGAAACAGCCAGTGCACTACTCTCCATCCAAGCTCACGCGCAGTGCGAGCTCTGCGCAACTGTCAGCATCACAACAGAATCATTCCCCACAGCCACCACCACGGTCTTCTGGAGCTGGAACCACCGAGGCGACCGATAATGGTGTGTCAGCTACGTCTGCACACGGTGAGCACCCATACGTTGTAGAATATTATCGCGTAGAAGCAACACGCATGGAACGCGAGTCAGAAGCGCTGAAACTACGGATTCGACACATGATGGCGTCTGAGCAACTGCACAAGCAGAAAACGCGGGTCTTGCGAGCAGAAAAACAAAATCTCATGCGGGAGCGCGATCAGCTACGCGCAGACTTGGACCGAGCAAAAAAGCACAGCACGCTGCAGAGTATTACGATGAACCGACAGCGTCCGCATTCCTCGGCGGATACTCGGAAATTAGGTTTCGCCACTGCGTCACAAAAAGTCAAGAAGCTCCAAGACCGCAACGCCTTTTTGGAGGAACGATTTCGCAAATCGCTCCAAAGCAACTCGGCAATAGCCACAATCGGTGTCGTAGCGCGTTTGCGCAGCTCTGTGTCAGTCCCTTCCGAATTTAATGATCCGGACCCTGCAGAAGACGAGAGCGATGCTGAAGCTCCGGTCCCGAGTGACAAACCAGTCACCAAAACTCGTCCTGCATCAGCTCACGCCACTACCGTAAATAAAGACAGTGAAGGCTCGTTCCGGTGCTTGGACGCTGTAACACTGTATTCACTGCAACAAGTGACACGGGCCACTAGAGTACGCCCTCAATCTGCCAATTCAATCAAGTAGCTGACGGTTTTCATTCATGGAGGATTCGTATCCATTTAGTTGCAGTAACGATCCCTTATTTTTGGTAGCAGGTGATCGATCACAAGCAGCATTTCAGTTGACCGCTAACATGGACGCCGAATTTGACGGTCTTAATAGTCCGAAGCACGAGCGTGTGGCAAAAGCACTTGAGCAAGTCAACGGCTTCCGATATCGTATGGAGACCCGAAAGCTCGCAGGTAGCCACAAGCGATAGTTTTGCCTCACACTTCTGTTGTTTCCGATTCCAGGGTATCATGCCGCCCCGCTTGATGGAAAGAAGATGCTGCGATTCGATTCTGACGATGAAGAAGCCTTGAGTGACGACGAAGACGCCGAAGATTCAAGCGATGAAACACAGGGTCGACAATGTCGCCAATCTAGTATAGAAAAGACCAAGCCGTTGGATGACGATTCGAAAGCGTCCAGCGTGACGTTGGATGATCATATCGAGAATCTTCTGCGCAAGACACGTACGCTAGCAATGCTGAAGATTGCCAATAACACTGCGGGTACTATCCCGTCCGACAGCGATGATGACAGCGACGAAGCTGATGACGTCGTGTCTGAAGAGCTCAAAAGCGTCAGTCTCTCTTCGATGGGGTCATCAAAGCGGGCGGCTTCATTTAAGAAGCTTTCCAGTCTCGGTAGCAGCTCCAACATCGATGTGCAGCAATCCACTTTTCTTGAAACGGCAGCAATGAATCTGGCACGGACTCTCAGTGCATTTCTCTGCCTGCCCCGTGCTATCAGCTATGTCGACTTGGAAGCGGTGAGTACTTCTCCTTGATATCATCAGTTCGAGCTCTGACTCAGACATCCGCAATCAGATTACAGAGAAATTGCTGGAGTCGTCAAACGATCGATTTGACGATGGCGAATACGCAGATCTCATTGATTATCACGTGGACTCGGCTCGTGGCGATGACACCCACGCCGAGAACGAGGAAGACGTCCCTATCTGGAAACGACGCCATTCGGTAAGCTTGGTATCTCCACTTTGGTCATGTGCAGATATCCTGACAACGTATTCGCATGATACAAAGCGACCTATCCGGCCGTTGGCCCTTCCAGATGATCAGACCGACTTGGAAATGGTGCGTCTCCTTGTCCTCACGTTTGCGACCGCGTCGCTAATACTTGTCTTCTTTCTTTTTGCAGCATCAACGTAAAATTTTCATAGAGGCCAATCGCTTCGGAGGTGTGTCGTCACGAGTAAGTACCTTACACCTGTACAAAGCGCTTTTTGCAACGCACTGACGTCGTAATTTGACTCCAGAACTTCTTTCTTGCGTCTAGCAAGCACCTTCTGTCCAGCGATGACTCCAAAGGCAGCATGTATTTCGGTGTAAGTCCCAGTGGACGTTTACTCGGTTCGTTCACAAAGGGTTCCAGCATGGATTTGAACTTTGGCAGATACGAAGGTGGCTCCACAAATTCCCCCAGCTACAGCAGCAACGAGATCCCTACATGTGCGTTCAACGAAGAGGAGTACATCATGTGGCGAACGCAGGTAAAAGACGACTACCTGGCATGGGTGAACGCCAAGGTCGAAGCCCAGAAGCGTCGCAAGTCGCGTGTGAAGAAGGTGGATCCCAATAAGAAGCCGCGTTGGTTGCTCCTATACGAGGCTAGCCAGAACCCGACGCAAAAGTACCGCCCGGACGACAAGGCGTAGCTACTTAACTAACGCGGTTGTTGCATTTCCGATTGATCACTCGATTCACTTCACTTCCTCGCTGCTGATGCATCTGTATCTTCTTCCACATGCACTGCTGCCACGCCCTCCATCTTGGCTCTTTCCAGCGCATACTTTGCCATGGCGTGAGGCATGGCTGACCCAAAGCCATAGAGGAACACGCCGATAAAGCCCAGCATCAGCAGTTTGTTGCGCACCCTACGGGCACTCGCGCGAGGGTCAATTGCCTCTACTACAGACGACGACGTCCTCTTTAGCCGTTGGGTGCCCTCTGCGACGGAGGATCGGACCCGTTCCTGAGCAGCGCTAGTAGCTTCCGCGGCGCTCTGCTGCGCGCGCTTCTTCAGGTCATCTACGGTGTCACTGGCTGATCGCTGCAGCAGCCTAGAGTTTTCGCGCAGCTGGCGCGTGGCGTGCTCCTGGTTTTGGCGCACGTTCTGGAGCACCTTACTGCCAAAGCCGCGTGCCTTGGTGGACGCTGTCGCGCGTGCTTCCTCCGCCTTATGCTTGACCGCTTTTCCAATATTCTCAGTTTTGTGTCTGGCGGCGCCTTTAGCTTCTTCCGCGGTCCGCCGTAGACTGCGCTTAGCCTCGTCGGCTGCGATGGCCGCCGCCTGCTGTGCTCGTGCGCCGGCATCGCTCGCTGCTCGGCGAAGCTCCCTCTCACCGCTCTAAGATGCCGTACAGACACATCGTCAATACTTAGTCACGAGCCATGCGATATCGAGCTGCGCACCTTGAGCTTATCTTGCACGGCGCTGGTGGTGTCGTCCACCAGCCGCCGCAGTTTATCCATGCTTGTTTTTCACTGTGAGATTGCATTACCCAACAAAACAGGAGTGATGGTTTGCTCGGTAAAGTACGGGTATCAGCTTGCCCCAGCCAGTCCATTTCCCCTTTGACCTCGGCCGCAGGATCTGCTAAGGCTGCGCCGTCCTTCAAGCTCGAGTTTTTAGCAAGTCTTTTCCCTTTGACCACCATGTTCAGCGGATTCGGCGGTGGTGGCTCCAAGCGCAGCGCACCTGCGCCAGAGGCGGCCGAACCGGTGCAAAACACGCTTTCACAGCCCAAGGGGAACGGTGGCGGCGGTGCCAACGGGTACTCGTTCGACCCGTCGGGTCTGGAACGCGCAGCCAAGGCTGCTCGCGAGCTCGAGAACTCGCGCCATGCCAAGGAGGCTTTTAACCTGGCCAAGGAAACGGAGCGCACCAAGCAGACGGAGAACCAGGCCAAAATTAAGGAGAATGAAGCTCTCTACAAGCAGTACGAGATCGTGCGAGTGCAGAAGGAGGGTGAGGAGCGCCGCAAGACGTTGGAGGAGGAAACCCGCCAGCACCAGCAGCGCGCGCAGTATCAGGATCAGCTTAAGCGTAAGCAGTACGCTGACCAGTTGGCTGCCCAGAAGTACATGAAGGAGCAGGAACTTAAGAAACAGGAGGAGATTCTCGCCCGCCAGGAGGCCTCCCGACGCAAGACGCTGGACTACGAAGCTGAGCTGCGTCAGAAGACTGAGCTGGCTAAGGTATCGGCAGAGACCGAGGGCCGCATCAAGCAGGAGCGTCTCAACCACGACCTGCACCTCGAGGAGGCCCGTGTGCGCGCCAAGGAATACCGTGAGACCGTGATGGAGGGTATTAAGCTTGCCGGTAACACTGTCGGGTCAGGCATCATGACTTTCGTGGATGACAAGGAGAAGCTCACGGCCACTGTGGCCTCTCTGACAGCTCTTGCTGTCGGTATTTATACCGCTAAGGTGTCCACCGGCGTTGCAGGCAAATACATTGAGGCGCGCATGGGAAAGCCGTCGCTGGTACGTGAGACGTCACGTCGTTCTGCTACGCAGGTGCTGGCCAACCCCATTCCGTCCATCAAGCGTGCGCTGCGACTGCAGAAGGCGACGGATGCGCTCGAGGGCGTCGTGCTTGAACCCAAGCTAGACGAGCGTCTGCGCAGCGTGGCTGTGTCTACGTTTAATACGAAGAAGAACCGCGCGCCATTCCGCCACTTGCTGCTTCACGGCCCGCCCGGTACGGGTAAGACTCTGTTCGCCAAGGCCCTTGCTCGTCACTCTGGCCTCGAGTACGCCATCCTCACGGGTGGTGACGTTGCCCCACTGGGTCGCGAGGGTGTGACGGAGATTCACAAGTTGTTTGACTGGGCATCGCACAGCCGTCGCGGTCTGCTACTATTCGTTGATGAGGCTGATGCGTTCTTGCAGAAGCGTAGCAACACCGTCATGAGCGAGGACATGCGTAACGCACTCAATGCCTTCCTGTACCGCACGGGCGAAGCCAGCGACAAATTCATGATCGTGTTCGCCAGTAACCAGCCGGAACAGTTTGACTGGGCCATCAACGATCGTATCGATGAGATGGTGGAGTTCCGTCTGCCTGGTTTCGACGAGCGTGTGCGCATGCTGAAGCAGTACTTCGACGACTATATTCGTGCACCGAAGAACTCGCGTGCCAAAAAGATCTACGTGGAGGGTATCGAGGACTCGGATTTTGAGGACCTGGCCGCGCGTATTGACGGTTTCTCCGGTCGTGAGCTGTCGAAGCTCGTAATTGCCTTCCAGGCTGCGGCATACGGTTCGCCCACGTCGGTGTTCGACAAGGAGATGATGATGCAGGTTCTTGAGCACCACCTTACGGCGCACAAGCAGAAGGAGGCGTGGAAAGAGTACGTTGGCCCTAGCGAGAAGCGCGACAACATCAAGACGATCTTGGCGGAATAGGCGCTGGCATAACGTGGATCGTGCTTGTCTGGGATCGACCACTGCACGATCAACCGAGCGACTATAGCCGATATACATCGACTTGATAGACTAGACTGTTAGATTAGTTCCTAATTGGTGGGCGCTACTCAGTTCCAGTTGCCAAGGCTACTCTGCTGAGCTCTGTCTGCTTCTCCTGCTTGACGAATTGGGAGTAGATCGAGTGAAGGAATGAGGGAAGGAGATAGAGAGAGGGCCTCTGTATTTGAACATGGTATCGTACCTTTTTGATTCTTGATCCGGAAGTTCCGACAGTGCTTCATTGTTAAGTACGATTTCGTGTGAAGATACACCCCGTTTCTCGAAACAACAATTCACAGCGAAGATGCTCATCCGCGTACGCTCGAAGAATGGCACATGGCGCGTGGGGGACTTGACGCCGTCATCCACCATCGCGGACATTAAGCGGTGGATATTTGAGCAGCACTCGATTGCCCCAGCGCGGCAACAGTTGGCGCTGGACCAGCAGGGAGCGCAGCAGACTACAGACACTCAGACTCTGCGCGAGCTGCGAGTGGGCCACGGCGACATGCTGTTCCTAGACTACGACGGCGAGACGGTTTCCACGGGCGGAGTCGTGGGCACGAAGATTAATGCGGATGGCACACTCACGCATGTGGCGTACCATGGCCGCGCTGACAAGCAGGCGTTCCGACCGGGCATGAAGTCACTGCGAGACATGAAGATGTACTGGACACTGGGCGAGTTCATGCGTATGGACGCCCAGTTTGAGTTCAAGATCAGCGCGCAAAAGGAGCCACAGGTGGCTAAGGTGCATCTGGACGGCGCTAGTTGCAACGACTTTCAGGCTTATCTGCGCCAGTTCGCCTTCCAGCAGTCGCGTTGCGGCTGGCTCTACGGTTCTGTGGATTCCGAGACGAAAGAGGTGACGGTGGACTTTATATATGAGCCTCCACAGGAGGGCAACCCGTACGGATTTGAGGTGCTGGACGATCCCAACGCAGACAAGGTTGATGCGGTGGCTGAAGCACTTGGCTACGAGAAAGTTGGCTGGGTATTCTCGCACCCGCCTCGCGAAGATGATGATTTTCACTTCTCAGCAAGGGAGACCCTGCTGGCGGCGCAGTTACAGGCCGATGCAGGCGGGAAGGCTTCGTTATTTCTTACACTCAAGGTGACGCTGGATAAGCAAGGGCAGGCGTCATTCGAGGCTTTCCAGGTCAGCGACCAGTGCGTTGAGATGTTCGCGGCCGGCGCGCTGATGGAGAACGAGCATAATCCTAAGGCCTGCGCGGTCACCGACACGTTCACGGCTCTCGTGGAGGCCAAACGCGCGACCGAGGTGGACAATAACTTTTTCCTGTGCGTGGTTCCTGTCGTACCGCACGAGTCGCCACTTCGCTGCGAGTTCCCCAAGCTCAACCGCGAGGGAGCATACCGAAACCGCGCGGCGCTCAAGTCTCAGCTGCAAAAATATCGTAACGAGCCGTACGCCAAGCGCATCAGCGATTTCCAGCTTTTGGTCTTCCTGTCAGACTTTCTCGACGTGCAGACGGACATCCCGGCCATCTGCCAGGCTGTGCGTGACCCGAACACCCCGCTCGATTCGGGTTACCCCATTCTCATCGACTCAGTCGCCGGTAGTCAGTGAGTGTAGGCAAGCAAATGGCGCAAATATAGCGAAATTAAACGGAAAGCGTCAGCAACTGATGGCAGCCCATGCCGCCGATGGGTGACATCGCGTCACATACTCATCGTTTGCTCGTTTTCTTTTTTTTCGATTGGCCAAAATACTGTAGACGCGCCATTCATGCATTTTCGCTTTGGCTGTAGACGATTCGGAAGTGTCTCGGCCACTGTGCTCCTCTCCCTTTTCTTCTTCTCTCTGGACGATGGTGAAGGCCGGCTTATTCGAGGTGGTGGCGGTGTGTGTAGCGCTAATGGCCGCGCTGGCAGCCACGCACGCACGCTCGGAGCGCCGAAAGCGGCAGAAGTTCGCACTGCAGCAGCCGCTGGTCACCTCCAAGAGTGAACTGGAGCTGGTGAAGGACATCGTGTACATTAACAATTCGACGGATCCCAGCGCTAGCTTCCGTATGGGGCATTCGAGGCATATGCTAAACGTTGAGGGCAATCAGATCCTCGTAGTTGGTGTGTGTGGCGGCTCCGGCTCGGGCAAGACCACGCTCTCGCGCGCCATTATGGCGGAGTTTGGCGCTGGTCGCGTGTCATACCTCTCACACGACTACTACTACAAGGACTTGGCCCATCTCACCATGGAGCAGCGTGCCAAGCACAACTTTGACCACCCGGATGCCCTTGAGACCGATCTCATGGTCAAGCATCTCAAGCAACTGCGCGCCGGCAAGACTGTGGATGTGCCCATCTATGACTTCAGTACGCACTCTCGGTGCGAAGCTACCACCCCAATGAAGCCCAACAGCGTTATCCTGGTGGAGGGAATTCTTATTTTTGCGGACCAAGCGCTCGCCGACCTCATGGACATTAAGATTTTCGTGGAGACGGCTGCGGACATCCGCCTCGTGCGCCGCTTGCACCGCGATATGGAAGAGCGCGGCCGCACTGCTGAGTCGGTCATGGACCAATACATGAAGACGGTACGCCCCATGCACATGATGTTTGTAGAGCAGTCGAAGCGCGTGGCGGACATCATTATCCCGCACGGCGTCAACTCGGTGGCTCTCGACATGATCATCTCCAAACTTCACAATTTTACGGCTGGGCACAGCGCAACAGGCAGCAGTAGGTCCAGCAGCGAGCGCTCTGACTCGATCGAGGAGGCGCCAAGCGCGTAGCTGGGCAGTACTGAGTTAAAAAGACAAGTCTCAGCGGCGCATAATGGAGACCAGCGTTTAGGAAGATACTAATGTAGTTGAAGTATCTCAAATTTGACAAGTTAATATATGGTCAGCAGCAGCAAATAGGGTGCAAACGAGTGCGCGCTCGGAGTTCATTAACAATTTAATGCTGAAGAATCACGATAAGTGCGGTGCATTTTAGGTTCGAAAACTAGCATACTCGTCTACAGACGACCGATCACGACCTCCAGCTCCTCAGCAGTGCAGACGTGAAAGCCCTTCTCGCGTGTGACAATTGCCAATTCCACGTTAATGCTAGTGAGCTTTTCCTCCATGTGCTGTTTCAGAGCGCCAATCGCAAGTGTTTCAGCCTCCTGCAACGTCAATTCTTCCGTGTAGCCATCCTTGAGATTGTTCAGTGCGCCTTCTGATCCAGAGCCGATGGCGTGAGCCTTCACAGGCCAGTACGTGCCTGAGGGCTCCGAGTAGAAAAGCTGCGGGCCAGCCTCATCCACGCCAGCAAGCAGCAGCGCCACACCGAACGGACGGCTCATCTTTTGCTTGTGGTTGTTCTCATCCGAGCCCTCACCGAAACTCAGCGCCAAGTCGCAGATGGACTGCGTCAGTGCCTGTACGCGAACAGGCTCGTTGTACGAGAACCAGTGATTGGTGGCCTCCACACGCGCGTGGTCGATCAAAGTCTGTGCGTCGGCAGTGATGCCGCTCATTGCAGCGCCCACATGCTTGTCGACCTCCATAATCTTCTCGATGCTGTCCACGTCGAAACATCAAGCACAGCAACGTTAGCATTTTCTGGCCTCTTTCGTGCTTCGTGTAAGGCACCAACCTGCCAGGTTCCAGCAGCGGAGAAGTTAGTCGCTTCTCCACGGCCAGTACGACTCCCTCTTTTGTGCGAATGCCGATAGCTGTGGTACCCATCTACACAACGCCCGTAAGCACGAGCCGCAAGGTTTAGTATCACTCCTATTCGTGGATAGAGTTTAGAGGCGCACCTTGATTGCTTCGATGGCGTATTCCACCTGGAAGAGTCGCCCCTCGGGCGAGAACGTGTTCACGCCACGGTCATACTCAGTGCTGTGAAGGAATAGATATACATATAAGTCAATCCAAGCGGAAAAACACTCGTGGGGCACAACCGCAGCGGCAAACGCACTTGGTCTGGAACATCTTCGGATTTAGGCTTTCGATTCGGCTTCTCCCCCCAAGGATATCTTTCAGAAATTACTGTGAAGGACATATTAATTGCAAGGTGCTTTAAGCGATCAATTAATGACATGTCATTCGAATGAAGGAGGATTTAGCAAGTCAAATTTTATAAGTGTGACTTTTTTTTTCGCCACCTACCGTGAAAGTCATGCAGCGACACAAATTATTTAGTTACCAACACAATAATACCGATAAGTTTTCTCCATTCGAGAAGGGTCTGCCGCTGCGGCCGGCTCGGAGTGATAAGCTCACAGTCATTCAAGTACGAAGTACAAGATTTACAGGCTGGACGGTTATTAATAACACTGTCGCATTACTGAAGTCAGCTTGATGGCAGTTGTGCCAACACCCTTTGGAAATGAACCTGTGCGGCACAGGCTGTGCGCGAGTGCAAACGTTGACTTGCAGGGCCAAGTTGACTCAACCGTTGAGGACGTCGAAATACTAGATTCCAGGGAACCCGAAAAAATATGCATAAAAATTATCCATTTTTTTATTTAATTATTAATTCATGGCTGTCAACAACGGCAACTTTAGAGCAAGGTCTAATCAAGGGGAGGCGCTAAACGTCGCGGAAAAATTAGCCTGCGCTGAATTTAGGTCGCCTGATCTTGAACGGTCGTCTTCAAGAGCCGCCGAGGTGTGTTCTAGTCGACGTCGCGTACATCCCGCCAACGTCTAACGAGAGTAAGCGCTTCCTCTCTCTCGCTACGCTGGTGCTGTCTGATCTACGGAACCAGCCAGACTCGTGTTTCTGAACTACAATCGTACATGAGTGCGTATGCTCGAGTATGGGCCGGAGTAATGCAAATAATTGAATTATTAATTTGCTCAGCTCACATCGATGTATTAATCTAAGTATTGCATTTTCGGGAATCTAGTAGATTCCATCTCAATCAACGAAACATGTTTGACTTTCTTTTGAGCTTGAAAGGGGCATTGAACCTCCCGGACACTTGCTGGGTATCGCTCCAATTTCTTGAGGTGGAAACCGTGTTAAATGCTGTAGTGAAAGTATTCGAAGATAGCTATCATTATATCACATCGAAGAAACAAACGCTTGCACGTACCATAGTGTTCTATCTCCCCCCCCCCCTCACTCGCTGTCTGTCAACTTTCGTCGGTGGAGGGCGTATGCGATCGCAACAATGATCTAATTTTTCTGGGACGGAAGTTACAGCATATTTTGGCTCAAATCAAAATGGACTACAGTGGCAATTGGCTACTGTAGTCCATTTTGATGTTTCAGACAGTGATGCATCGCATGCATCAACGGAAACTTTGCATGAGATCATTCAGCGCTTGATTTTGTTAGTGTCGTCAGAGATCTCATTTCACACTGTACAGTCTTGGCTAGGCATTATGATGAAAGATGCGTGACGAAATAGACTCCCAGATAAGTACCCCGGTCAAACTCAGGTTTTTCCGACTAAAACTTCTTTTGCCTTAGGTTTGCAGTGGAATCTATAATTACCCGGCCAATTGCTGTTTCTACAGAAGTCGGTGACTTTACCGGTGGAATGGGTGTCATTTCTATCCACTTGCTGTCCGTAAGCATTACGCTCGAAATGGTTTCCTGTAACGTCGTCACTAGGTGGTCGCAAGTTGAGACCCTCATGTGCTCCGTCCCACACAGTCGACACAAGACTGGTCGTTGAAAGATCGAGAACTCCGCCGGCACCGTGCCTTGATCCATGAGCGTCCTCACCACACCAACATTGCTCGGTTGCCCCCAGCCCTCATTGTGTCTCACAAGTATTGCTGGAGCCGGTCAAACAGCCGCTTCGACCTTTAGCTTGTCTTTCATAGCCCAACTCGTTGCCGAGTGCCTTCATTTTTGTTGCCGGGGTTCTCCCTCTCAAGAAACATTGCGTTTGGGTTACAATGGGCGTCGACGCTCTGCAGATGCGAGCCCTGGAGACTCTTCCAAGCGAGAATCGGCCCAAAGACCTGTGTGAACAGCAGCCGCAGGACAGCACCAGCGACCTCAAGTCCGTCGCAGTACCGCCGCCATCGTTCAACAAGTGGCTGGCCACGGCTGTCGCCGAGGAGGAAGCAGCCAGCAAGATTCAGCTCTTCTTACGGTACTGTCTGAAACTGCAGCGATCAGGCAATGAGTCGGTGCAGCGTACTGTGTCCACAGTGTCCTCGCTCGATTCGCTTCCCACACTGGGGGAGCAAGATGAAGACCATTTGCAGTACGAGATTTTGCTGTGGTATGGCTCCAGTGTTGGCTCCGTGATCTTCAAGTCGTGCGATATTACTGGTTATCCGTGTGTCGAAGTGGCGGAGGGTAACGACTCTTTGCCGGGGATGTGGAATCTCCGCGAAGGCGATTTCCTCATTTCTATCAACGATCGTAGCACCAGACGCTCCGACGTGCCGTTTGACGCGGTGATGCAGATTGTGGACAGCGGCGTGCGGCCAGCCGTGCTTCGGCTGCGCAGACCGGCATCACATGAGCTGCAGAGTCTCACAAAGAGACCGCGACGTCCGTCGATAGTGCGCACCGACCGACAAAGAAGCCGAGAGCGGCTGGAGAGGTCCTTGAGCTACATTATTTGGAGAGAAGAAGACGGCCCACTTGGAATTAGCTTAAAGCCCGAACAGGGCAAGTCTTACCCGGTGGTCCAGGACATGAACAAGTCTGGCGTAGCTGGCCGCGGTGGGAAGCACAACAAAGTGAGTGTAGGCGATCAGCTGCTGACTATCAATCACTACGACGTCTTCCGCTTGGGTTTTGAGAAGATGTGCCAGGTCATGAAGGTTGCCCCCAAGCCACTCGTGCTCACGTTTCGTCGAACGTCACCGGAACCTATGGAACCTCGCAGCCTCGATCTGTAAAAGGATGTTTCCATTTGTCTCTAGAGGCGGCCAGATGGAAAGCGTCTCACTTCTAAGTATTTTGCTCGTCGTTGCTTCTCGAAAAGTCGAGTGATATCTGTTAGTCCTTCGTGTTGCATGCGCCAGCAATGCATGTATTTATTTATCGACCATAATGAAACAATTCATAATCTTTGCAAGCTTTACAAATAATTAGTGGCTCGAAACGGCCTTAGTTACTAGCTCTACTTGTTGTTGAAGGCAAACTGGCAGCTTGGCTTCGACAGCTCACTCCCCGAAACAGATTATGACGGCAGTCATGTTGTCCATGGATCCTTGCGCCTTAGCCTCGTCTAACAGCATTTTGCCAATGGTGATGGACTTCTCGCCCTGCGCGAGGCGCTTGGAGACAAATTCTGTCAATTCTTCGTCGCAGAAGACGTCTGTGACGCCGTCGCTCACCAAAACAAGGAAAGCGTCATCCGACGCAATCTCCAATGATGCGATATGCGGTGCACTCGTGATAAACTTCTTCTCGTCTGCCTGGCCCAGAGCACGCGTGACGGAAATGGAGCCGGCCACACGCTTGTTGACAATGATACCATTGAGCGCGCGGATTCGCTTGATCTCATCCACATTCGTAGCCTTGTGGTCAACAGATAGCCGCGACGTCTGGCCGTCGCAGTAGAAAATGGCACGGGAATCGCCAACATTGGCCATGTGGAAGGTCGTACGACCATTGTACTTGCGGATAAGGCAGGTGACGGCCGTGGAGCCGCTCTCAGACGACTCGTCGAAGTCCTCGAGCTCCTTGTCAAGTGACGAAAAGGCCTGGGCATAGCAGCTCTCGATCTCGGCGTTACTTAATACATCCGCCTCCACATCAGAGCAATCATCCATACTGCTGGTAGATGTAACGTTGCTGCGGTTGCTACTACTAGTACTTTCAGCATCGGAAGATCGTCTTCTCTTAGCGCTGTATTTGTCTTGCATGAGCTCCGCCAGCTTTTGGTGGAAGTATTTGGCGGCATACTTAGCGCAAAAGTCTCCTCCATGACCGTCGTAAACGCCGAAGAAAGAGCTAACGGCCGGATCGTCCGGAAAGGCAGTGTACTTGGGGATAGCGACACACTCGTCCTCCATATGCTTCCTAAATTGACTGTTCTGTGTGGATACCGCCGCGTAGTCGCGCACCACAGGGCTAGGCAGGTATTGGTCGGTTGGTTCCCAACTACGGCTTGAGAGATTTAGTCGCCGTCTTCGTTCCTGTGTGACGGATGACGCCACAGCCTCCAATTGTTCGCGATCGTCATCGACTCGACGAGTCCGGAAACATGGCGGTGAAAGTGCATCCGCGGACGAGGAGCTGGTAATTTTGCTGCGCCTGTCGGTCATCTGATGGAACTTGTTGTGGTGTGGGCCGCGGCTGTGGTCGCGAGAGCAAGAGATCCCCATTACGTATCGCCAGCACCGCGGGGGAAAGCGCGGCCTGTCGTGATGGACGGCAGGTGGAAGAACGTGGTGATATATGCTGCGTCAAGCAACGGGGAACGGCGCCGCAGCGAGCGGAGCAGCCGAAGAGATAATGAATGACCTGACGCCTCACCTCACTGGAAATAATAGGGCTAGGGGTTCGGTTTATTTGATTTATTTCGTCGGGGCGATTGCCCGAGAGAGTAGAAGGGGCTCTTGGCCACTGCGACCTTTGCTGACATGCTGGGTCGGCCCAGTGGGTCCGATCGGCTGAACTTGGCGTGAAACGACGGCAAGGAGCATTGGCGACGATAAGTATTGAGCGTGTACATGTAGATGCAGGTGGCCAAGGAGAGGATATCACCACCAACGCCGATCGGTTTGCCGCAAATCGCCTTTTGATGATGGCACACTTCATCCTTTATCGCGGTGCTGTTGGTACTTTACAGTCCATGTATTGCAAATTGTATCGGCAGTAAGTACTACTGTACATGTATTAATACCAGGTTTTAATAATTCTACAGTAGAAGTATTTGTAAACTGTTGTTGGTACATGAAAAAGCAAAACAAAAATAAATGCATGCCGCCTGCATGCATTTATTTTTGTTATGCTTTTTGCAATACGTAATGAGCGATTCCAGGCTGAACGATGCATCGAGGGGTAGGATGGTTGAATCAACACCGCCAGACTGGCAGGATTACTTCAACATCCCTGTGTCGATGCACTAAGCCCCGTTTAACATTGCCCAACGGTGTTTGCTGCGGTGGGCCCTCCCGAACGCACATACGTATATGAGCGTCCATAGGCCTTATGGACATTTCGAACACGAACACGGAGGACCCTCGCGTCCAAATTAAGCCTTAAAATTAAAGGCCCATTTCTAATTAATACTTCGAAGTATAAATTAAAACTTAAGTATGCTTAGCTAGCCTGAATTCGACCAGCAATTTGTTAGGACGAATCTTCAGACGGGAAGCAAGTAGCGCGACTCGCTACAGGGCTTACTGTGTTGTCATAACTACAGTGCCGTTCTCGTATGATAATTGCACGCAAAGCACCGTAGACGTGTACATGCGAGAGAGAGAAATTTGCCTTCTATTTCGACGTGTACATCTTTAAATGTATTAATACAGCTCTAAAATTTCTACGTGTACGAATCCACAGTACAGCACCCCATAAACTTTCGGATGTGATGATCCTGAATCCAAATTAACCAAAAATTGTAAGCTAAAATCTAGTTTATTTGCAAATCCTATATGGTCCACCACCGCGAAAACGGGGTGCAGTACTGTACTACCGGTAACGTAACTGCTTAAAAAGATGGACTCTGAGAGTAGCACTGTGACTTACACGGTAACGATTCTGTACATGTACATATACATGTATTAATACCGTAGATTCACTCGGAGAGTAGCACTGCGACTAACAGATTGGCTGCTTGGGCACTTCATGCGCGGCGCATCGCCTTCAGAAGGCAAAGCACTGAAGAAAACGTCCCTCCGCGCGATCATGAGAATCTGAAGACTCCTCGTGAGGAGCGGGTAAACCGGTAAACCGAGTGGTGACGTAGGGTTCGTCACGGGGGGATTATTCTCCATGTGTCGATCGCTTCTAAGAGTAGGAGCCATTTAAATGTAAATACACTTAAATGTCAACTTTAGGAAACTAAATAGGAAGTAACGTAAACACGTAAGTGCCGGGCAAAAGGCCGCGACAGGACTGCGGTGTCTGGCGAGGCTGCTCTTCTCTGCTGCTCTCTGGTGAGCGGCAGGCGTCAAAACGCAAAGTGTGGAGCAGCCTCCGCCAGAACGCCGCTGTACCGCAAAAGTAGATTAGTATACAAATAGCAAATAAGTCAATACTAAACTCTAGATAAATGCACTCTCGTTTGAGTACACCATCTTGGCAGCGCACAGCCAACGATGTCCTTGTGCATACAGTCCTTGGTATAGTCCTTCGCCATTGCACGCATGTGTACTCAGTGTAGCCGGTTGTAGTGCAGCCGCAAGCTGCACTGCCAGGCGCATGAGTGTCCTTGGGATGTGTCTTTGCGGACACTGGCAGTGGACGGTGGCTCGTAGATGGGGGCACCGGACACTGGCAGACTGCAATGCACTGGCGCTCGACACGCAGGTAAGTTTTATAGCTCACATACCGACCAACTAGACATGAGCATGAGCAAGCAGTGCTGCGTCACATTGTGTCACAGGCCGAACTGGCCCAGGACTAGCCTAGCCAACCCACTGCTTGTCACAAAATTAAAAAAAAAATAATGTGCCGTGCAAAATGGGACGATGGACGCCTACAATGACTTGGCAATCGATCGATTGGACACAGCGGCTTTATTGTTACTGCTGCTCGCACTGGACAATCACGTGGGCAATCATCAGAGCTGGATCCGCCTCTGATGATTTTCTACCTGCAAAGAACGGGTCGTTGCGCTGAGCAAGTGCGTGGTACGCTAAGTACTGTACATGATACACAGTGGTTCACAGGCCTTCCGAATAATACATTGCAGTGAAAATAAAATGGAAATATTAGTATGGAATAATTTACTTTTCAGTTATAATGAAAATTTTCAGTAACATATTTCCGGTATCGTCATAAATTATTTGTAGCCCATGCTTCACAAAACTGCCCAATCCCAGCTAAGCAAAACTGAGAGCCAACCACTGTTTGGTTGGTTGGCAAGTCCTTGGGCGTGCATCGAGCTCAGTCCTCCTCATTTTCCGATTCACCATGTCTTTGACAGCTCCCTTCACTAACAAGCAAGTCGGTGACTTCTTCTTCAAGCCCGTTCTTGACAACCAGGATGAGCCGACGGGATATTTTCGCTGTCGCTGCTCCAAGATTCGCAAACAAGACAGTAAAGCTGGCTACACTAACCTGATAAGCCACATTCGCGCACAACACTCCAGCTATGCAGTCGACATTGCCAGCAGTGGGCGTGCCAGTGGCACCCTGATTGGGTTCGTGGACAAGAAGAGTCAAGTCATCTACAGCTGGATTGACTGGATTGTGAAATGCAATCTCCCATTCAGCTATTCTCGACAACGGGACGGTGGCTAAATATGCTGCTGTACCCACGATCTCACCAGAGACAGCTGAGAAGTACATGGGCTTGGTAGTGAAAGCGCTGGAGAGCTACATTTCAGGCATTCTCCCTAAACAATTTGGCATTGTTTGGGATGGATGTTTGTTTCAATCGGAGCATTATGTGGCAGTTTTTGGGGTCTTCGGCCATGACAGCAAGATGGAGAAGATCCTGCTCGCCATGGCTCCTCTTGTGGATGATGACATCGTGGACCATTCTGCTCCTGCTCACATTTCTTTTCTCCAAGCAGTGTTGGGCTACTTTGGCCGAGCGCTGGCTGACGTGCTGTACATCGTCGCGGACAACTGTCCCACGAATGGGTCCATCGCTGCAATCATGAAGGTTCCTTTCGTGGGATGTGCGAGCCACCGCCTTAACTTGGCTGTCATGAAGTACATGAAGAGCTATGAGGATCTGCTGGACAAAGTCCAGCTCTTGATGCGTAAATTACGCAGTCTAAACGCTTCGGCTAGTTTGCGGTGAGTGCAGAATGTATTTTTTGTATTTTCGGTAATTTATCTAATTGGATTTTGTTTTGGTAAAATTTAGAAAAAAACCAAGTTGAGGCCAGTTCTCCGTCAAACAACACGGTGGCCGTCAACGTTTAACATGGTCCGACGCTATTTTGATTTAAAGATGCAATTAATGCCATGGATGACGCCACGACGGCGCTGATGCCGTCGCGGCGCGAAATAAACCAGCTGAGGGGGCTTCTTGAATCCTCCTCGAAGAAGCTCCAAAGTGCCGACGGGCTGTCACTTCTCGACGTACGAGACACTTTCGACGCGCTGATCACCGAACATCCTGGTGTCGAGGGGTACCTGGGTTCGGACGCAGGTATCGTCCAGCAACCTGAGTTCGAGGATGCCTGTGTTACCGTGCTCACCGGAAAGGCTGATAATCTCACGGAGTCTCAGCGCTCACTGCTCTTACCGTTCGCTTCTCGCGTTGCGACGCCACAATTGTCGGAGGGCAAGAAGCTTGAGTTTGCGGACCGAGCGCTCAAGAAACGCAAACTACAACGTGAGACGCCTTGTGAGTACCCAGAAATTGCGGTAATCCCGCCGACTTCCAACATGTGCGAGCGGGTTTTTAGTCAAACCAAACATGTCATGGGAAACCATCGCCAAGGACTGCTCCCTATCAACCTCGAGATAATACTGTTTCTGAAGGTAAATCGCCACCTTTGGAATGTGAAAACCGTCGCCGATGTCGTTAATGCATCCAGATGAGATGTATCTTGACAGTAGTGGTGTGATATTGCTCTAACCATAACAATTACGTATTTTTTAATATCAAATGTTTCCCTGCAAGTACTGATTTCACGAAAAGGCAAGAATCTCATTGCAGTTGTATTATCGGAAGGCCTGGTGGCTCATCATTGGTGAGCCACTTGGCGATCTGTCTGTGTTGATGAACGGACCTTTTGCACTTGACATAACAATAATAGGTATCTGACGCAGCTAAAAACAACGGTCTAAAAGATAGAACCGCTATATATGGATGGATGAAGCTGAAGACTGACATCGTAGATGCGTGTAAAAGAGGTCTAAAGTGCACCCTTCACTCTAATTAGTCGTGCTTCGAAATTAGTCGTGCATCGTACTAAAGTACACCCTTCACTCTAATTAGCCGTGCTTCGCAATTAGTCGTGCATCGTACTTAAGATATTATTTAGGGTAACATAACCATAATTAGTCATGCACCACAAATAATCGTGCACCATAATTAGACGTGCACCATAAATAATCATTCCTGTGATGGCCAGCAGTCCTCAACTCGGCGAGCAAGCTGCTCAAGCCGTGCCACAGCAAAATAAATGTCCGAAGGAGGTCGCACACTGCAGGTTGTTGCTGTCGCTGACCGCGAGCGATGTGTGCAATGGATGGAAGGAGACATGATTGAAAATGGTGAAAAAGGCCTCCCTGGGCGAGCCATTGCACAATTTCCTACTCTTTTTCGCTCCGCTGACCGTCGTGTCAACCTAAACAAGGCAAGAGATTGGTGGAAAAAGCGCTCCTCGCTTCATCTAGCACTAGAAGCGCAAGGACAGCATAAGTACGCAAGAACGGCGCGCGGCGGTCGACACCAGCTCATTCACTAGGCTCTCTCGGGTCGTGGCCGCAAGATAGACGGTCATTGGGAATGGCTCTACCCTCAGCTTTTTACCGAGTTTGAGAGGCTTAGACGTGCAGGTGTCAAGCTATCTTCCCGTCTACTTATGGACATGGCTACAGCTACGATTGAAGATTCTACTCACCCGCTCTACAACACAGCTTTTAAGTTTAACGGCAAGTCTTTTCCTGTACTTATTTCCCTAAGACGCATTCAAGATTGTACAGAGCGTTATAATATCGTGTACAGAAAGTTAAAAGGCAAAAAACAAGTCAGTGATGCCAAAATGGCACAGATCGAGCAGTCGATTGCTCGGCACTTGGGTCAGCTGAAAAGGCTTTTCGATGATGAACAGATGGACCCTGACGAGCAGTACAATATGGACGAAAGTCACTTTGTCATAGATCTAGATGACGGTAAGACCCTCTACTTTCGTGGTGCAGATAAAGTTAAATACCGTAGCATTGTTTTAGGTACGAAGAACTGATTTAACCATGTTTTAGTATATGCGTCACTTGAAAATTATCTAAGTACTGACCTTATATTATTTTATAAAATAGGTGGTGAAGGTATAACGATGTGTCTTAATTAAGAGTGGTGCTAATGCCAAACTCCTCTGCCCAATGCTGATCTTCAAGAACGCCAAGTCGAACTATCCTATTCAAGGCCTCCCGGATTGCGTTAATGGGGTCTGCTATCGTACATCCCCGAGTGCGTTCATCAACAATCGCATCATGGTTGAATGGCTGCGCGAGACGCGCAGTTGGGGTCCAGCAGACCCGTTCGCCAAAGAACGCCAGTTATGGCTCGATAACGCACGTGGACATGCAGGTGAAGAGATGCAGAAGGTTGCACGCGAGCTGCGAGCACGCGCGCGCTTTTTTCCGCCGAACACCAGCGGATCGCTTTCCATTTCATCGAATCAAGGTGCACTGGCGGAACCTATGTGAGCGTCGCAATATGGAGGCTATTAGACGGGGGGAGTGGATGCAAGGCGCAAAGTCAAGCGGGGCACTTGCCAATCCTGGAAAGCGTTTCTTCTTAGAAACAGCGGCAGAGTGTATTCGCCTCGTCAATGCTGAAAAAGACGAGAAAGGAGTGAACTGGGCAGAAACGTCGATGGTGTTATGCGGGCTAGATGTGGGCAACAACGGTAAGTGGGAGGCAAATCAGCTAAGTAAGTCGTTGCACGATATCATTTCGAGATGCAGTGAGGATTCCAGTACAGGATATCAGTAGGCTACTGCGAGTGCATCAGTGTAATAAAAAGCTTAATGTGGACTTTCAAAATCACCAACCGAACTTCGATACCCCTCTCTGAAAAACTTTTAAAGTCCCACTCTAAAAATCTATTTCACATTCGTATGCATTATTCAAGGCGCAGCTAAGCAAAGAGCGCCAAGAATCAATGGACCCGGCGGTCAGCCAATCCAGCACTGAAGATTGCCTGGAGCAACAGGAGGTCAGGAGACTTATCCGTGACGCAATGAATAAGAAAGTCTTTCCCTCTGCTGCTCAGTACCCCGAGGATTTACGTGATGACTCCCTTCTTTCTTCGCTCTTTACGTGGCCTGTTATCGTATGGGTTTCTGAGTGCCTAAGTGCAGCCAAAGTCCCCCACTGTCTCATGCCAGGGTGCTCATGCTCGCCACGTGTGAAGGAGTATAAGCAGAGAGCAGTTGAAGACACGTGGAAACGAAGTGTCATCTACTCTACGTCAAGTACCAGTGTACCGGCGAGAACCAGGGCTATTTTTCGACTGTGACGGCTGATTATATACAGAGTGAAGTCCATTTACTTATGCACTTTTCTTTTGTGCTGACCAAGAAAGGAGGATTCTCTAAGGTGCTACTGGAGTTAGTTCACGAGGGTAGGACAACTCCTCACGGTTTTTCTAGTACAACCAAACACATTCGTTGCTGCCGTGAGAGGCGGTACAACAAGCTACTCTGTTTTTTTGCTGATCAAGTCGGTTAGCATCAGCTGAACAACTGAACTTATTTAGCACCAGGTCCGCCTTCAGTTGGTCAATATTGTGGAAGGCAAAACCGGTCGGAGCCGAGACGATGTCTGCAGCCTGTATGCAATCAACAGCTATCTACTGTGCGTTATGTGAGCAGATGGTGAGCTCGTTAAAGGTGCGAAAGGCTCTTAGCGTGGACCATTTAGTAAAATCTTGTACACGACTTAAAGTGTGGCCTGGGGGATCGGGCCAAAGCGAGAGCGTGTCGGATGCGAAGATGTTGCTGCTGTTTCAAAATGAGATAGGCCAGATCGTCGGGCGGCGTCTGACGCGCTCAGAAAATCACGACAAGATGCGGGAGCTACTGCAACACGTGAAGGGTGCTTTTACTGAAGAATACTCACAATACGTTGTCAGCGACAATGCCAACGCAATTCGTAACTTAGTGTCGAGTGTATCCGGAGACGCTGTCGGGGTTCGGGAAGACCTATTTCACGTAATCTAGCGACTCACTGACAAAGTCAAGAACAAATCATCGAAAAAGGTACTATCAAATCAGCTTCACGACGCCATATTCGCAGTTTACGGGGTTCTGCGCGAGCCTGCAAAGATATCGGCTCGATTTCAAAGTGCTGTGGACTCCGTAGCGAGAGCAGACGAGGTGGTCGAGGATGGCATGGTGGCGCTGCGTTAGCTCTTCGCGTGGCATAGAGGTTGCACTTATCTCGCTCTTGTCAGTGAGGAAGTGCAAAACTGGCGCAAATCTCGACTGAATCTTCCACTACAGACTTCGTCTCTCCCAAACATGTTCTAATCGAAGCGATGTTTCGATCGTAGCTCGCGCCTTGACCTGCCACGTAAAGCCCGTTGGAAATGGACACCACTGCCTTCCGTAGTAACCCGCCTGGAGCTCCGTCGCCATGTTCCGAGACGCTGTTCAGCACAAAGCTTGGATGGATAGTAATGTTTGGTCTACGTATCTACGTACCGTAATGCTACCATGCATCATGGATAATCCCGTACTTCTCGTCGACAACCTAGAGTGCCACGTATCGGATGAATTTAAGGGAATCGTGCAGATATCAACTGCAGTGAATCCCAATGGCAAGGAAGTGTGAAAAGCAATCTGAAGCATATCAAGTGTGAAGACCTCTACGTTGGCGAACACGTATTTAGAGAGGGTGGTGGCAAAGATGTTCGCGTGGTGTCTACAAACCAGCTCGAAGGGTTTCACTCCACTCTTAAGAAGATGCTTGGTCGGTCTGTGTCGGTCGATGTTGGCCTACGTATTCTCAACGTTTTATTTTGCGGCATAACTTGAAGGTTGGACTAACTACGGGCGAAATCCGCTGATGCACGCCGATATTCTCACACTTGCGCAGACTGCAACTTTGTGTCGTGAAGTAATTGCAGAGACGCCGCAGCTGGAGTTCGTCACCCAGCTAATATCGGAACCTCTGCGCCAACCAGCGTACCGATCATCTAAATCCCTTGATTGTGCATTCGAACAGTGGCGTCAAAAATATGTGACAGCTCGCGTTGATACGCTGGGTGTGGAGGCCAATCTGGATCATAGCCGACAGCGCAATGATAGCATTAACCCCTTGGACGCGAAGGGGTGACAGGGATAGGCTAAACAAAATCCTTATACCCTCCCGGAGGGTATAAGGATTTTACTTGATTAAAGTAAGACATATTTTAGCGAAGAAGTTGAACGCACCTTTTTTGACGAGATTGTTGCTAAGCTCTTCGGTGATTATTCTGGTATAGGGGCTTGGTATGATCTGCGGAAAAAAATCCCCCAATCAACTGTTTGCCAGTCTATTTATGCAACTCCGACATTTAGAGACCAGCAGGAGAGGCCACTCATTGACCACCGTATCAACGCAGCACAAAGATAGCGATGGCTGGCAGGACGGACACGACAGAGCGCCCCAAGAGAGACTAACAGGGGCATTGGCAACTACGTAGAAGGTGTTCTTAGCAAGATGAGTGACTTATTTGTGCTACCATGTGTTGTAATGCAGCTATATGTATTTCCCTACGGCTTAGCTAGGCTACGATCGCGAATATGACTTGCTTTTGGAGCGAACAGGCCATTCTGCCACAGGATGTGCCATATCTGGGCACAGGTCATGCCCTCGTTTGCTTGGTGTCCCCGCACCTTGTTGCAGAGTGTCACCTGCCCCTTCTTGCCTTCGGAGCACTTCGCGCAATAGAATGTAGACGTTCCACCCCTCTTCTTGCCTGTCGGTTTGTAGTAGGAGCAGACCTTGCATTGCCTTTGGCGCAAACGATGGACACCGTTGTTTAAACGGGTGTCGGTAGTTTGGACGAGGGAATGGTCACCTTGGATAGCGATAGGTTTTTCACGCACTACAGCCGTAGGCTCAGTCGAAATCCCTGCCTCCGTAAAGGATGACTCCGTCTCCTGAATGAGCTGTCTGTGTAGAGTTGTCAAGAAAGAGTAGTGTGACATCTTCTTCTTGCGTTCCTTCTCCCAGACGTGAGCGTGTACAATGTAGGCGCTCACCACCGCCATGTTGACCACTCCAAGAAACAGGCTTTTGTAGTATTTCTGGAATCTGTTGTTCGGGACAGCATTAGATGTTTTTCATAAGCTGACATGAACAGCACATCACTCACCTTGTCGCCAACTGCATAGAGTATGACTGGAGTCGCAACTGGTCGTGGCGATCAACGCCGCCCATGTAGCGTTGATATTCATCAACCAAACCTGGACACGGCACCGTTGACACCGCTCCATTCTTCTCCCTCCGTTGCACCGTTGTCGATGCCGCGGTAACTTGAGACGACAGGAAATACACCGAACGGTTGTCTACCCAGCCGACAGCAGCAAGCCCCGGATTACTCTTCGCTACGGCCATCCTGAAAGAGCCTCGCTTGCACGTGGCTGGTCGTTTCTTGAATGGATACTCTACGGCTTTGCACCAACCCTTTCGATTTGTCTGGATTGTGCCTACGTAGTTGAATCCCATGGTACGGAGCTGTTGTGCCACGGGAATCGACGTGTAGAAGCGATCAGCAATTACAACACGGCGTCCCGAATATGGAAGTCCCCGGAATACACACGCCACATTTCGTACAGCTGCAGCTGGTCTGCTCTTTGTATCCATTGCCTGTGCACCATCGACATCGAATTTCCTGCCAATATCAACTTCCACTCTAACACGTTGCCGTACCCATGACCCGTCAGCATAACCTCGAAAATAAAAGATGACAGCGTCAGCTTACCTTTTGCAGTATCCTGATTCCGCGCAGCACGTCATCACACACTTGGTACCCCATTTGTGGGGTTTATCCTTCAAGTATTGACGAGTCGGATTCTGGTGGTTCGTCGATGGCAGCATACCTTCGTCAATATCCACACGAGAGCCGAGAACGTAGCCTTCTTTGAATGTCTTCTCCACCGTTAACAAGGCTGGTCTGATTTTCCATGCACGATCACTAGCTGCTCCAGGGTCCTTATTGTCCGAGAAATGAAGAAATCTCGTAATGTCTCGAAACCGATCTCGTGACATCACTTTGCCGAATGTTCCAGCGGGAATCAGGCCGTCTTCAGCTGTAGACCAGTGCATCACAAAGTCTTACGCGGATTCAAAGTGTGCGCTAATATCAAACCAATCCATTGAACAATTTCATGCGGCGCAATCCTCTCAAATCGCTCCAACTTTCTGCGCAACTTGTCTATACTCTTTTGTGGTCGATGGGTCACTTGTGCCTCTTTCGCGACAACCTTTTTCAGGAGAGCGTCAAACGTCTGCTCCCAGTAGCGATGTGTCTCGCGCGCAACGTGCCTCCAGAACGCCCTCGGCAGGAAGTAGAAGAACAGGGAAAGTGGTGATTTGGCCGATGCCAAGACATCTTTCGACGGTCCACAGTAACCTTCGTACATTTTGTCAACTTCCGGGTCGTCGACAATGTCCGCAACCTCATTTTCAGGGTACACGGTCCATCCTTGAGCCGCCATATCAGCTAATTGGTTGTCGTCGAAGACTTCGGATGACCCTGTCAGCATAAATTCCAATTAATAAACTTACTTTGTCATCACAACACACAACGTCTTTCAACATACCTTCCACTGCCATATGTAGCCGTTCCAACTCGGCCTCGTTCAACAAACCGGCAATTCGCCTTGATTCGGCAACAACCGATTCGTCAACAAGAGATTCGTCTTCATCGTCTGTGTCCAGCATATCTGCAGCACCGACTGAATCTTCGCCCTCTCCATCCGACTTGATGCTCTTCTCGACCT